GGAATTACCCTTCGAAGTTTTTACCCCAGAACTACCATCCGTCTCACAAGACGAATTTATCCTCCTATCCGCAACCATGGGTGACGTCAAGCCTGACAATGTCCCCAAGCTTTCCTCAGCGTCCCAATACGCTGATTGGTCAGCCGCCATGCGCGGCTATTTGGTTTTTATCCAAGCCTGGCCCGCCGTTATTGCAACTGGCACACCCGCAGCGGACTTCGCCACTCAGAATGCCCGTGCCCAGGGTGTTCTATTTATGAGAACCGATCGCTCGATGCATCATCTGCTCGAGAAAGACACCGGTGATCTCAAGGATGCGAAGGACATGTGGAACTCGCTCAAAACCGCTTTTGGCACCCCTGACACGGCATACGTCTGGTCTCTCTTCCAGTCGTTGATCAAATCTCCGGAAATGTCTGACTCCAAGCCAATGCAGGATCAGATTAACAAGCTGGTTACCCGGCTTAAGGAGATTAGTGGTGGCGGAATTACGCTCGGTGACTCGACTCAGGCTCTTCTCCTTCTGTCGAAGCTGCCAGAGTCATACCAGTCGATGATCTCTGCACTCCTGGCGACGCAGACCCTCAAAGATCTAAAGGTCGACTCGGTCCAGAGCAAAATTCTCGCCGAGGAATCACTTCGCCGGTCCGGTATGGGACAGTCTGCGTCTAAGACGTCCCAGGTCAAGCATAAATCCAAGGACCCCTGCGATCACTGCGGTGGGGCCCATGGTAGCGAGAATTGTTGGACCAAGTACCCGCATCTCCGCCCTCAGAATAAAGGTGGCGGAAAGGGGAAGAACAACAAGGGCAAGGGCAAGGGCAAAGGAAAGGGAAAGAGCGGAGGAAATGGTCAATCTAGTTCTGGTACTTCTAACACTGCATCTGCGTCGGACTCTTCGAATGTTGTAACTGTAGAATCCTCCTCGTCGTCTGCGAATACTATGACTGCTTCTTGGTATACTGCAGCTCACACCGCGTCAGGAAGAACGACTGATTGGATTATGGATTCTGGTGCATCCAAGACGATCACCAACGACATGGCTGATTTCTGGGATTACACTCCTTACGAGGAGCCCATGATTTTTAGCACAGCCGGCAAGAGTAAGATTGCAGCTTACGGTGAAGGCACTATCAAAGGCGTTGTGCATGTTGAAGGGAAACATATTGTGTCGACTATCACCAATGTCGCATATATCCCTGCCGCGTCTAGTCGCCTATTTTCAACTGGAGTTATTGAACGTTCAGGTTTCACCCTTGTTCAAGGTGGAGGCCGTATGGTCATTTTTGACCAACCTATTTTGCATGGTTCTGACCGAATCCGTGGTAACAAGATCATGGAGGCGCATCACACGCCCTTCAACAATCTCTATATGTTGCACATGGAAATTATGAAACCGCAATTGGCTAAGTCTGCGGACAAGTCAAATTTTCGCCTTTGGCATCAACGCTTCGGACATTCATCTGAAGTTATCCGTCAACTACCCAAGCACACCAAGGGTGTGGATTCTATTGGTGACAAGGACAAGTCTCCTTGTGCAGGTTGTCAATGGGGCAAGTCTCATCGTGCTCCATTTCCCGCGTCGGACAAGAGAGCTTCAAAACCTCTTGAAATTGTTCATACCGACGAAGATGGTCCTATGCGTACCACCGCTATTGGTGGATGGCGCTACTTCATCAGCTTTCTCGACGACTACTCCGGTCTTGGCCGCGCCTATTTCCTCAAACATAAGAATGATTCGACCCAAGCGTTCGATGATTTCAAGGCATGGGCTGAGAACCAAACTGACGAGAAAATCAAAGCTGTACGCTCGGATCGAGGGGGAGAATATACATCTGCAGAATTTACCGAACATTTGCGCAAATTTGGCATTGAACATCAGAAGACGATGCCATACTCTCCTCAACAGAATGGGAGAGCTGAGCGCTGGAATCGGACCATTGTCGAGAAGGCTATGTCTATGCTTCATCATGCTGGACTAAGCCATGGTTTCTGGCAATTGGCTGTTGACGCTGCGGTTCACATTTATAATCGGCAACCAATGCGACGCCTTAACTGGCAATGCCCCATTACCCTCTGGGATAGCACAGTCCCGGACATTTCGTATTTTAGGGTATTTGGGTGCAAGGCATATGTGCATGTGCAGAAGGAACAAAGAGCTGGGAAGCTCGACAAGAAGGCTGTCGAGATGATCTTTGTTGGCTATGAGTTAGGTTCCAAAGGGTATCGTTTCTGGAACCCGGCCACTCGAAGTATCGTTGTGTCTCGTGATGTGACCTTCGATGAAGAGACATTTCCTGCACGTAAAGATTTAGGCAATAATCCGAAATCCCTGGATAAGCCGTTTGATGAACCTCCTGAGGATGCGAACTCGGAGGATTCTGATTCTGAGGATTTACCTATTCCCGTTCCTATCCCGGAACATGAACCTGAACCTAAAGACCATCCAGAGCCAGTGGGAGACAATCCACAACCGCAACCTGATCCTGTACCTCCTCCGCAACCTCAGTACGAACGTCCACGTCGTCAAGGTGCTGGACAAAATCCTAAGAGGAATAAGGACAATGCCTATGGTGACGAGCCACCTGCGAATATTGATCGTCGTACCGATGCTCAAGGCCGTCAACAATCTGAGGCTGAAACTCTCATGTTTGTGCGGATGCTAGCAGAAGCAAACCATGGCGTTCCCCAGAGTCACAGGGAAGCTATGGAGTCTCAAGACAAGGCTAAATGGCACGCATCTGAAGGTTCTGAATACAAGTCGCTTATGGACAACAAGACTTGGGTTCTAGTTCCACGGCCTAAAAACCGAAAGGTTATCAAGTGCCGGTGGGTTTATGCGATTAAACACGATGGTCGCTACAAAGCGCGTGTTGTTGCAAAGGGATTTACCCAAGTGTGGGGTCAAGACTATACCGAGACTTTTTCTCCTGTTGCACGTTTTGAATCTGTACGCTATCTATTGGCGCATGCAGCACTTGAAGATTGGGAGATTGAGTCTATGGATGTCAAGACGGCATTCCTTAACGGTGACCTTGATGAGGAAATCTACATGGAACAGCCCGAAGGATGGGCTGTACCTGGGAAGGAGAACTGGGTCTGTCTGCTCAAGAAGGCCATTTATGGCTTGAAGCAAGCGTCTCGTCAATGGAACGCTAAGATCCACAAGTCTCTCCTCGACTTAGGGTTTAAACGGACGTATTCGGATGCCGGAATTTATGTCTTCTCTCGTGAATCTGAAGGACACACCTGCTTAATCATTCTGTATGTCGACGACTTGCTCCTCATGGGCGACTCGAAATTGTTCATCGACAACATCAAGCAGAGACTGTCTTTGGAATACCAGATGACTGATCTGGGAGCTGTCCAGCGTTTCCTTGGTCTACACATTCGTCGAGAACGTCTTGCACGTCGTATCTTCGTTGACCAGGAAGACTATATTCAGTCTGTTTTGGAGAGGTTCCAAATGTCCAACTGCAAGTCTGCAAGGACGCCTCTTCCCGCTGGAGCAGTATTAGAGAAGAACACCAACATTGCGTCTGAAATTTTCCGAACCCGTTACCAGAGCATTATTGGCAGCATCATGTATGCTATGCTTGGTACTCGCCCAGACATCTCGTTCGCGGTCACGCGTCTGGCGAAGTTTTCTTCAAATCCGTCTAAAGAGCATATGAAGTTTGCGTACTATGTCCTGAGATATCTTCAAGGGACAAAGGAACTTGCACTTTGCTACGATGGAGGTTCAAACTCTGGTCTGATCGCCTACTCAGACTCAGACTGGGCTGAAGACCGTGATGATAGGCACTCTACATCTGGCTTTGTTTTCCTCATGGCCAATTGTGTCGTTTCTTGGGTGTCAAGACGCCAACCAACGGTATCTTTGTCTTCAACCGAAGCAGAGTATAAGGCCAGCTCCGACTGCTGTCGTCAGATGGCTTGGCTGCGTCATTTTGGAGAAGAACTGGGAGACAACATGTCTCATCCAACTCCACTTTGTCTTGACAACCAAGGCAACATTTTTCTTGCAGTGAACCCTGCTGTGGATCGCCGCACCAAGCACATAGAAATCCGGTATCACTACATTCGAGAGTTCTACGAACGTGGGGAGATGGACATCTATTTTGTCGCAAGTGAAGACCAACTTGCTGATGCCTTGACCAAGAATGTTCCCTTCAGCGGAATTGAGAAATTCAGGTCTTCGGTTGGCATGATGAGATACTCGACATCTTGAACAAGTGGGAGTGTTGAACTTCCGAGTTTTCAGTGTTCTTATCTTATCAGTTATGTACGGATATGGACTTATGTTCTGCGATGTCAGATTACATACATTCTTTGATGGACTTTGCCTAGATTACGTCATGTGACTTTAGTCCGGATCATTCCATGATATTCCACGACATTCCTTGATGTTCCATGACGTTCCATATCATTCCTTGATGTCCCATCACGTCCTATATCACTCTTTGATGTTCCATCATGTCTCATATTATTCCTGATGTTCCATCACGTTTCATGTATCTCTCCACATCAAACTCCGAGTTTTGGCTTACTCATGCTGCTTACCAGCTTACTCATATCCCCAAAACCTCGGACTTAGTGCTTACTGATGAACCACTGATACAGCATGTGACCTGTATCAAATGTGTATATATACTAGGCTGGTTTGCCCTGTAATGATAACGATCCTTCGTCCTCTCCTCTGCCTGCCAGCATAGGATCTTCCCTTTGGGACTGGTCTGTTCACTCACTCATTAGTCCTTCACTGCCACTGGGCTTACTAAGCCTAAAACCTCTTTCTTCAACATCACCGCCATCGACAGGACTTTCCTGCATTTCCAGTCTTTTTTGACATTTTTCAGAATTAATTGATTTTCTCACGCGCGCGGACAAGACTTTCCGAAACTGCTGTATTAAATACATGTAAAAAAGTGGTGTGTAATTTACAGGCCCCTTTTACACGCTACCCTATAGAGCACAGCTCAACATTCATTCTTGTATTGCTACTCCTGATGTTCCAAGAACCCAATCCCCGTATTCCGCACCTTCCCAATGAACACTTGGTACCACTTCGCAATCATCGCCATTGGGACGAAGCTCTCCGGCGTGACCGGGCCGCCACCCATGAAGCCCGACACGTAGTTGAACAGGTGCTTCACTATCCGCTCGGCGAGGAGGGTCGCGTCGGGCTGTGCGTTAACCGGGCGCGCGACGGCATTAGGGAGGGCGGCCATCTCGGCCTCGATCGTCGAGAGGGGCTCGATGGCGATCCCGAGGATGGCGGTGACGTCTGCGGGCGCGGTGGGGTCGAATGGCATGCCGGGCGCGCCGTTCGTGAAGAGCGCGGATTTGGTGGTCTGGGAGGAGAATGTGCCGCGCAGGCGGAAGATGGCGGATGGTTTGTCGTTCGAGAGCCTGGGGAGCAGGGCGTGCTGGAAAAGAGGTAGAAGGAAGATAGAGAGAGGGACGTACATGCCTAGGAGCTGAAAGCCCTTGCCGGGCCAGTGGAAATGCACCGTCGCACCGTAGCCTTCTGGGAATGGAACTGCACGGCGAAGGGTGCATTAACCGCGTCAGCGCAGCTTAGACACACCAGATAGGATTGCGACGCACCTGTGCCCAGGAGAAACACACATATGTGGTTGATCGTACTCGCATTCGGCAACTCGAACATCGCATGCGTCTCGTCGATCTGCTGCAGGTTCGTCTGCATGAGACGGCCGGCAACACAGCACCCAAACATATTCGTCGAATCGTAGGGTTTCCGGTGAATGAAGGTAGAGATGAGAGGGAGAAATGCGAGAAGAGGAGGATAACGGAGCGGGCGGAGACGACGTTCGAGCATATTCCGCGACGGGCTGCTTCGCATCAGGACGCGCTCGTCTTCAACTTGCTCCTGACCACGTCCATCTCTGGGCGATCCTCGCCGCTCATAGCACGGAACACCGCCGCCAATGATCAACGACCACCGCGAATGTCGCGCCAGACGACGAGCAAGGACAGGATAGGCGTCTGCGGGGTTCCGTGATGGGTGAGTAAAACACGCCCACCGGCTGACTCGTCTCGCCTCGCGCCTCGCTGTCCCACCTACCGTTCCCACACTTTATTACTAATTAGTACTGTTGACGCGTGTTGTTGACGGGTTCTTATCAGTAGCCAGATCCACCGATCGCCTTACCCGTGAAGATTTCCCCAGAGTTCGCTGACTTAATAGACCGTCCTCGCTGTGTATTGCACGTGAGCTCCTTCCCGATATGGCTCGGTCCCGCGCTGGTCCCTCTGGACCAGTTCTGTGGGCGCTTCTGGCTGTGTCTCGGCCTCCCGCCCCCATCAGTCACATGATAGACTTCTCGCCGCCCCGCGCCACGCGCCTCCTTCCACTTCCGTCCTCACTGGCGCTTCCCGTCACTCCTCCCGCCCTCGCCGGCGCTTCTCCGCCTCCTGCCTTTCTCGTCCTCCCCAGCGCGTGCACGTGCCCCTCCCGTCCCCGCCGGCGCTTCCTCTCACTCCTCCCGCCCTCGCCGGCGCTTCTCCGCCTCCTGCCTTTCTCGTCCTCCCCAGCGCGTGCACGTGCCCCTCCCGTCCCCGCCGGCGCTTCCTCTCACTCCTCCCGCCCTCGCCGGCGCTTCTCCGCCTCCTGCCTTTCTCGTCCCCGCCGGCGCTCCCCCTTGCCCCTCCCGCCCCCGCTAGCGCTTGTATTCCCGCTTTTCTTCGCCGTTCATGGCCCGTTTCGGCAATATATTACGACGGACAGGTGTGTGGCAGTACTATCAGTATGATTGCATTATCAGCACGTGTATACAGCGGCACGTGCCTTTTCCTTCCTGATTGGGGAATGCCAGCGGTTTGAACTTTGAACTGCAGTGCATAAGCGCCGTCATCCCTCCTCGTCTATGGCCCTTACATGGCTAGCGTACGTAGCTACCTCTCGTCTTCTGTTGCCGTCACCTCGGGCAACCCATTCGGCCCACGCAAACGGTCACGAAACGTCAAGCTAAGCAGCTCGAAGAAGCGACGCGAGGAGAACGCGGCGGAACAGCGGCTTTTCGTAGCAGGTAAGTTTGGAGTCTGTACTGCTCTTGCTACTCACAATTGGCATCAAGGACTATCGTTCGAAGACCGCGATGCCTACAACGCTCTCAATGCCGAACCTTCGGTGCAACCGCAGGAGGACAACCAGGACAATGATTACGAAGACATGTACTCCCTGCCCCCGGGAGAGGAGGCATTCTTTCTGAGCCACGCCGGAGGAGAAATGGAGCTGTGTCAGGATCTGGTCGCAACGCGCCGGTATGTTCTGCTATCCTCGCCGCTGCACTGTTACTGATCATATTAGAAAACGGGACGACTTTCGAATCCGACACGATCGCCTCCTGCGCGCTCGCGCAGAGTGGCAGGCTCAGCTGCCTACCCTTGTGGATGCGTATCTGGCGTGGAAGGTGTCGATTTCGGGGAGCTCTGACGTGCCGGCAGCGGGCGCCGACTATAAGTGAGTACCTTCCCTTTAGCGCAACGTACGGCATGTCGACTCGCGGTTCAGCCAGCAGCAGCCAGACGCGGATGTGCAACAACTTGAAAGCCAAGGCCAGGGTCCTCAGGAGTCGGGTGGGGAAGGACAGACGGAGGGACTAGGTCCTGTATGGGAGTGGGAGGTGACCACTGTCGATTTCTTTGGTGCGTATCGACCGTGTCTTCCCACTATAGGTTTCTGCTCAGCCTCCCTGCAGTTCTTTCGAAACAAACGTTCAAACACGTACCCCCTGCTCGCTACGCAAATGCGACGCTCGTATCGAACGGCTTCCTTGGCTCGTCCCCGCAAAAACCCACGGTCGCCATCTCTCTGAAGGTTCTCGACGCGTACCGACAGCTTCATCGCGCCTGCCCACGCCTGAGCGTGCAGGCCTACGTGAAATCACTATGCTATATTCATCGAGTATGTACACACACTGACGGCGGTACCTTCCGATCCCGACTGACTGTTATCACATATAGGTTCCTCTCAAGAAACACCTTGTCAAACAGTTCAGCGACGCATATGACATCTATCTTGACATACAGTACCACATCGACAAGCTCGTTGATTCCGCTTTGGGCAGGGACACCCCGGATTGGCGGATGCACAACGCGTGCGCACCGTGCTTGTACAAGCTCGAACACGAACCGACCCTCAAGTACTCGCTTCTCGCCACAATGGACGGCAACCAATCGCTTAAGCTCGTCGACGACGCTTTCCGCAATGGCAGGGTGCGCGCGGATGGGCGAGAGGCGCGAACAGATATATGGTTGTTGCCAAGCGAAGTTGATCGCTTCAAGGACGAAGCTGGCAAAGTTGAGTGACTGTCTATTCCAAATAACCGTGCCTTACTCTTTTATTTAGGCAAACAATAAAGCTTCTGCCATTGCCACGGATGTGACCGCCTCAATGGAGGTCGCCGCCATAGCCAATGACACCGACAGGGCCCCTGACGTTGCGAATGCCGAAGTTCGCTACGACCACGACGACGACATAGCATGGCTGGGCCTATCGGACCGCGAGGACGACGGGAATCTTGAAGCCTCGGTCGACGTGTGCGTGGAACGCTGGCGAAATGCAGGCCCCGAAGCCCGCAAGAAGATGTTCGCGCTCTTCGCCAAGACGGGGATCTTTGTTTGCCTGTGCCGTCACGGGCAATTACTCATCCTCTGTGATATGATTCGAAGCGGCGAACTGTGAGTACTGCGAGCCACCATTGCATAACCACATACTGATGACACCCCAGTATGAAGTATCCCCTCGCGATCATTAACAAGCTAATGGAGGTATACGGCCCTGATATCTTAGTAGGATACGACATCGCATGTGCATTTGCGAAGACTCTTGCACGAAGCTCACTCGGTCCGGAAGCTCGACGCCTCCGTATGGCCGGCGTGGTACCGGCCTTCCATGGGCACGGCCACAATCGTGGCTGCCAAGTCAATTGGCACCCGCTTTACATGAACAGCGTTGGCAAGGAGGACTTCGAGGGCTGCGAGCGTTGTTTCTCCGAGTCGAACGCCCTCGCGGCTGGGACCCGCCTGTCGTCGGCATTCCATCGGCAGCAGGCGATCGAGGAATTCTTCCGCTTTTGGGGCGAAGATAAGCACCACGACTCAGGTACGTCGCCCGATTAGGTAGTCATTCAGACGCTGATATATGACAGGCACATTCATCTACAATAATTACCGGCAAGCGCTCAACATCATCGCCGATGACAGTCGTGCCCTCGCAGCTCTGTCCACAGAGCTGAGAGTGAGCACCACTGATCTCGAGGAGTACCTGAAGCAGGAGAGGGAGTACATCCATAACCGCAAGAACGAGTCGCCTGAGGTCGCCCGGAAGCTCGACTACCTCGCTGCGCTACGTCGCCTGGAGGAAGCAAGGTAAGTCATAACGGCTGATAACGAGATATGACCCATTTGACATCTCATGGACAGCTCGAAGCTGACCGCTGCCACCGTCGAACTTCGCAAAGTCGAGGGCAACATCGCCCAATATGCGACGAAGGAGGTTGCACGTGTCCGAGGGAATCGTACAAGGGCCGCAAATCGTTACTTCGCCACCGACGACGACTGTCGGGCATACGAGCAAGAATTGCAAATTGCTGTGCGGTGGTTGCCTGCCAGCGACGAATACCAGGAAGCGTGCCAGCTTCTGACCCTGCGCGAGTATCAGCGCTCGCTTGATGAGCTCGAACGTCTCGTCGTCCAGCGGCTGTTTGAATTGACAAAGGCTGGAATGAGTGGTACAGGTGATTCATGCATCCCAGTTGCTATAACCTGACAACTACTGATCGAGTGTCACAGGTTACAAGTTGCGCGAGAAGATCTCGAAGGCGTTGAAGGCACGGGCCGAAGCGATCAGGAAGGCACTCAAGCGGTATAATGACAAGGCCGCGAAACTGAACCCTCCGCGTCCGCAGCTGACAGTGGTCAGAGGTAGTAGACATGGTCAACCTCGCTGACTTCGATCTTCTTCGAGAGACCCGGGACGACATACGCAAGCAACCATGGGCCCAATACCCCAACCGACGCGCCACGAATCTGCACTTCAACATCAAGCGTGCCCGCGAGGAGATTGAGCGGCTCAACGTCGAGATCCGCCGACTGCTCACGTCCATGTACGATGAGCATGTCGATTACCACCTCGCAGTGCAACAAGCGTCCGTCAGCGCGCCATACCTTGCGCACGAGCTGAGGGAGCGATGGCAATACCGCAACAGCATCCATGCAAGGATCGCTGCGCGCCTGCATCAGACCTCTCAGCTACCCCGCTTCAGTGGCACCCTCACGACCGGGCTTCGCATTGGACGTCCTGCCACGCAAAACGACGGCATCCCGCTGCCCTTCTGGGCTCATGGGTTCGTGGGCATGGAGACAGAAGAGGACGGCGGGTTTGATGGCGAGGCTGATGACACAGAGCCATTGTTTGAGGGTATCAACTCGGAGCGCGATGCAAACGTATATGTAGATTTTATTGACAATCTTGGAAGACGTGAGCCGTCGTAGAGCAGACGTTTAGACTACACGCATTTCATGTATCAGGTAGTACTACTGTGTTTACAGCAATCTCATTTTGCACTCGGTTCTCAGACATCTCAGTGATTTACCAGTCTCGACGATCCGTACCATCTGGCTATCATGTACATGACTTGGAACTGACAAACTCACATTATCCATGGTATGAACAGGGTACTCAACCTTTAATACGTTGACATGAATGGCACTCTCGGAAATGCATACATGAGGTATGTAATTGTCGAACTAAAGTGTAGGGGAACGCCTATGTACAGATACTTGGTATGAGGTTGGAAACCTTAAGCTTGCGCGCAGTGCGTTTTGCGAGCAGAGCGCTCAAGTTCGTTCACGGTCGCTCACTCTTCCGCCTGCATCTCTATTGTTGCCGTCTCCGCCTAGCACTCCATGTCCTCTGACCCCGACACTGAACGTCAGCGGCAGCGACACCAGCATGCCATCAACAGTCTTACACCGCCTCTGACTTTCAATCCTGGCAGCGTCGAACACCTAGCAGAAACCCTGGACAGGGCTCTGCAGCCAACTGACGCGTATCAACCGCAGCTCGCAGCTGCCGACATTGCGTTCTTTGTTGCGGGTGCCCACAAGGATGGCCGCCATAACCTTGGTCTGAGCAACATCCATCCAATGTTCAATGAAGCTCGCGAGGACACGGGAGTGGGAGCTGACGGTCGGCGTGTGCGGACGCAGTTCCGTGATGGCGTACAAAATTTAGCGTTCGATACGGTATGTGTTGATATATGCACTACCACTGCCTACTAACCTGTCCATCAGCTTACGGTCTTGGATCGCATTGATGCGGGGTGCACGGTGGCCATCCATGTTTCGGGCCTGCAACAGCCGGGGACCCGGCCGACTGGTACTCTTCCTCTCCCTCAGGATCTGCGCCTCCATGTCTATGCTCCGCCGCATATCCTTACGGATCTACCGACTACGAAGCCTGCCTTGGCCCGAATCGTCCAACTTTTTGCGGAGGAGATTGGTGTGCAGACCGTGCAACGCTTCGAGTTACTGGCTCGAGAAAAACTTCATTGGTCGTTCACCATGCACAGCGATCAGTTGACGCAAGGGTCTCAGCCCTCCGCTCGCGGCCCCCCTCCCCTCATCCCTGATGCTCGTGGTACTGCACACTACATATTCCGTGGTCGTCCCCGCGGCGAGCTCCAGCAGCTCTTGGTTGATGACGGTCCGGCTCCCCAGCCTACTATGGACGTGGACCCGCAAAAGCTCACCGAGGAGATCGAGATACTGCACCGCGATATCGAATCATACGAGGAGATGATGCATGGCCTCGATCTTGATATCGGTGCGAAGGCGTCGACAATCGTCACCCTCCTTGCTGACCTGGCCGACGCAAACTCGAGGATCGTCGCGCAGGAGGCTACGATCGACGACCAGGCGAATAAAATCGAAGAGCAGGCAGCTAGGATCGACAGCCAGGCCGTCGAGATACATGCGGCTCGTATCGAGAGGGAATCTCTCCGCAAAACGAATGGGAAGCTCAAAACGGAGCTTGCTTCGGCGAAGGAAACTATCCGGGCCTTGAAACAGAGGCTGTCGGTGGACCGTGGTATGTGAATTGATTCTAGACTCACGCCGCACTGTGCACTCATTCTTATTCATGTAGGTGTTCAGGCCCCTACGCCTGGGGCCTCGACGTTGGCTCTGCCTGTATTTAGCGCTCAGGGCGCGGTCATCACAGCGGCGAGCGAATTAGCCCCGCGGTACGCTCGGGGCTTCGGCCATGCTGTCCAACGAGTCATTGAGAGGCATAGCCTCGAATATCTCATCCACAATGTCTGCGAGAAGGTCGCCAGCAGCAGCGCTGCATTGGTCTGGCAACAACGTCTCAACATTGAGCTCCAGCGCTTCAATATCCCAGTTGAACGCCGGGAGGCTATTTCTGCGGAGCTCAGTGAGGCGATGCAGCAGGATCTGCGGAACATCAGGTGTTAGATTCACGGTGATGTGCTACTTTACGCTGTCGTAGTAGCGACTGTTTGGTTTGGTATGCTGTGCGCTGTCGTCTTGTATTCTTCTTGCTGCTCTCGTTGCTGTTGTTCTTGCCGCTCTCGTCGCTCGTGCTGTCATCTTGTGTATGCTGCTGTGTACTGAACGTTGTCGTGCTTTGTTGTGTTTTCCCAATGCAAATCTGTCGGGCGTCTGAACTAATGCCTTCCTCGTACCATCGCAAAGCTCGCTTCCCCCTCAAAATATTTGATGAGGTAGCTGCCCGCATTCGAACACTTGCGAGGCTCATGTCAAAAATTTTTAAGTTTTGGACGCCCATGGGTACGTCTTAAGGTAGCTCAACGGGAATCTCAATGACAGTACCCACGTCCGAACCCACCTTCGTGGCCTTCTGCCCCGCGCGTCTCCTGAGGTGAGCTGTACCGATATGGCGACTGTGACCTACGGGCCGTCGGTCGCCGTGACGGCAAAGCCACAGGAGCCCGCCCGGCGTGTGGCTCCTCCTCCTCTCCTACCCGACCAGCGCAAGGCCATGGAAATTGCTCGCGACGAGAAGCAGGCACTGATCAGCGCCCGCATCGAGCAATGGCACGCGTATACATCTGCATACGCTGAGCAGATGTCCAAGGACTTTGGCAAGACGCCGGACCACTATCTGCATCTTCTGTTCTCGCAAGGATCGCGCCCGACGTCAACGCGCAAATGTAACCCGTACAACGCGTGGTCAAGCAAGGTAGTGAAAGATGCGAACCAGGGTGAGTCAACTGTCACATACGTTGCACTGTTCTCAAGCTCTGTGTAGATGCAGGCCCGGGTCAATCACGCCGAATGGTTGACGTCACGCGAGAGAAGAAGCAAGAGTACCACAACATGACTCCGGAGGAGAAGGCAGAGCTTGCGCCTGCACTGGAGGACGTGCGGCAGTCTAAGAAGTTCGGTGCTCGCCTGACAGTGCGCGCCATCCTGAACGACGTCAACGCAACGAACAAGCGGATGGAGGTCGAGGTAAGTACGGCTTCCTTTCTCGAAGTTCTCTCTCATCTCGAACGACAGATGTATGGTCTCTGCTTGCGCACGGGCATGCAGGGTTTCTTCTGTGTCTTCAAGAGCAAAGCTGGCATTCCCTGCAACCCTCAGTGGTACTTCACGAACCCACACATCAACATATACCTGGCGTTGGCGGTTCGCAAGGGGTGGGACGTCGAGAACATAGGTGCACTGGCGGAGGCGTTTGCTGTCGCGGGGTGCGACTTCATGAGTGCGCCCTTCTTCTCTCTCTCTCCTTAGATCAGCACTCACTAGTCCAACAGAGTTCCTACGCAGTGCGAAGGATCGCGCCGACTTCTTGAAAGCCGAGATTCGTGATTTGATTCAAAAGCAAATAGGTATGTACATTGACCTCCTCGCTTTCTCGACGCCCAGACACCGACTCCTCCACAGCTGATTTGACCGGCAACCCGAAGGTCCGAATGAACTATGTGAACTTCGAGCGCGACTTCGTCGTCAAGTTCGGCATTGACGTCACCGGCTGGACGTTCGACAAATTCATCAACCCGTCCGAGATGAGCACGAGTCTGCCTCCCCTCCAGAAGCTCATCTCGGCCCTCAAGGACGGCTCGTGCAGGTTTCATCGCCTCGCGGAACCTGAGCGCTCGCGACGCGAAGAAGCGTACAACCGCAAGGTCCTTGCCGGTGAGGTCGAGCCTCGCAAAGAGCGGCAGGACAAGGGTGTCCCGCGTGGCAAGCGTGCCGCGAACGCTGCGGATACCGAGCCGGACGAGGGCAGCGGCAATACCAACGCACCGCCTGCGAAGCGTCCTCGGGTGTCGGGCCTTTCGATACAGAAGGCTGCCCCGAAGAGCAACGAGTTCGTCAACGACTCGGACGTGGACGATGACACGCCTGCTTCGTAAGTCGCTACATAACATCTTCCTATCTCTTGGTATCACATCACACTCCCTCCCTTGCACCCTCACTACCGCGCCGTATCTATCATACTACTTTGCTGTCGTCGTACCTGCCATTGTCGATCGTTGTCCATTGCTGTCTCTTGCACATCACCTACTACTATCTTGCTTTTGTCGTACCCTGTCACGGTGATCTTGCTCTTGTCGTACCTTACTGCTCTCGCGATATCCCCGCTCAATGTTCTTGTCATGTATTCCCCGGTTGCTATATACACGATAAATGTGACCATGTTTGTGTGCCTATGTGCTCGTCATTTGTGTGCGCCTTGAGTGTCTTAGAATGCAAACATGTTATGTAAGTGACGGTGCAGCCGAATTAGGTCGGCATCGGTGGCAATCACATGTGCATGATCAGTTTCCGTCTGTTTGCCACGTCACCTTCCATTTCCAGCGAAATAGGTCGGTAGCCTCGTGTTGATGTATACCGAATTGGGACATTAATGTCTATTGCTACAGCTACACTGATATATGTAAGTACCGTCTATATGATGATGACTACTCTGCCTACAGTCTTCCCTCAGTAACTCACTCAATAGCTGCTTCAGCAGAACTTGGCCAACAGCAGTAAGAGACAACAGTGCCGGCGGGGCAAGGGGAAGCGCCGGCGGGGACGAGAAAGGCAGGAGGCGGAGAAGCGCCGGCGAGGGCGGGAGGAGTGAGAGGAAGCGCCGGCGGGGACGGGAGGGGCACGTGCACGCGCTGGGGAGGACGAGAAAGGCAGGAGGCGGAGAAGCGCCGGCGAGGGCGGGAGGAGTGAGAGGAAGCGCCGGCGGGGACGGGAGGGGCACGTGCACGCGCTGGGGAGGACGAGAAAGGCAGGAGGCGGAGAAGCGCCGGCGAGGGCGGGAGGAGTGACGGGAAGCGCCAGTGAGGACGGAAGTGGAAGGAGGCGCGTGGCGCGGGGCGGCGAGAAGTCTATCATGTGACTGATGGGGGCGGGAGGCCGAGACACAGCCAGAAGCGCCCACAGAACTGGTCCAGAGGGACCAGCGCGGGACCGAGCCATATCGGGAAGGAGCTCACGTGCAATACACAGCGAGGACGGTCTATTAAGTCAGCGAACTCTGGGGAAATCTTCACGGGTAAGGCGATCGGTGGATCTGGCTACTGATAAGAACCCGTCAACAACACGCGTCAACAGTACTAATTAGTAATAAAGTGTGGGAACGGTAGGTGGCTGTCCGCCTGCCCCCCGCACGCTCTCGCCGTCAAAAGCCGCTCTCACAGATGCTCAGTCTGTCCCGTGCCGCTCGCTCTTGTTCCGCAACCACTCGCACTTCCTCCTCTCGCCGGCTGCACCAGCACTCCCGAAAAATGCGGCCCCTAACACCCGCCGACCTCAACCCGGCGATCCTCAACGTGCAGTATGCCGTCCGCGGCGAGCTGGCGATCAAGGCCGACGAGCTCAACGAAAAGCTCCGCTCGCAGGAGCACCAGGACAAGCTACCGTTCAAAAAGGTCATCAGCAGCAACATCGGGAACCCGCAGCAGAAGGGCCTCGACCAGCCCCCTATCACGTTCACGAGGCAGGTATGTACTATCATTTCGCTTTCCTGCTTGCTCGGTGGCGGGCGCGGTGGGCATGCTACGAATGGCTGGGCGAAGGACGAGCCTTCTTTTGGTACGGCACACATGCATCCACTACACGTGAACTTCCACCGAACCCCGCGTGCGGGGGTACCTGCGCGCTCTCTCCGCATCACGGCACTGCAATGCGGGGCAGAGTGCGCGTGTGCGGCCAGGCTCAACCTGGTCGTTCGAGGCCCTGTCGTGTACTCGACCAGGACCCCTGACAATACGCGCGGATGCCAGACTCGTCCGGACAACACGCGCGGATGCCAGACTCGTCCGGACAACATGCGGATGCATGGGTGACTCAGGGCCGTTCGCAGAGAATACGGATTGTATCAGCTGCGACGTGGTGAGACTGCAGACATCCAGCGTCCCTTCTACCAACCGTACAAGTCAAAGCTTGCCCTGTTGTACTTGCGCGGGAGTTCGCAACCACATCGTAGTGTAACCGCGACTCGCATGGCGCCAGACAGTGCTGAACTGGATGTGCGCCCTCACCTCGCTTGCTGCGCACAAGAGGTCGTTGAAATCAGCGGCGCCCAGGCGGGCACTCGAGTGTTGTTCTCCCTGGGACGATAGACCGGTCGCACATTCGCGTACGCAGCCATCCTTTGCACCAAGTTTTCTTGTCCGCTGTCTGTGCACGCGTTCTTATTTTCAACACCGACACCAGATCAAGTCTGGGTTTCGCTGTTCAGTGAACGTTCCGCCAACGGCTTGTTCTCAACGGCGATTCGACCTGCTCTGGCTCTTCTAATCTCACCAATGCCTTGTTCTGCCACTGTCGCGCAGCGATTGACGATGTCTGGCACTACAGGTTGCTGCATTGATGGAGTACCCGCCCTTGGTTGACATTGTCAAGGACCAATGGCCAGCGGACGTAATCGCACGAGCACAGGAGCTGCAGGCTGAGATCGGCAGCGTCGGCGCATACTCTCATAGCAAGGGTATCCCGCTCATCCGGAAACACGTCGCGCAGTTCATTTCAGGTGCGTCGCCCTGTGTAGCGCTTCGCCCTCCCTGTTGACAAGCTTATCATCAGAACGCGACGGGTATCCGAGCGACCCAGAAGACATCTTCCTCACCGCCGGCGCATCCGCGGGCGTCGCCCTTCTCCTTAACACGCTCATCACGCCGCACAAGACCGGCATCCTCATCCCTATCCCGCAATACCCACTCTACACCGCGACGCTCGCACAGTTCAATGGCGTCGCGGTCCCGTACCACCTCTCCGAGATCGACGGCTGGTCAACCTCGCTCGACGAGATTCGTGCAGCGCTGAAAAAGGCCGAAATCTCCAGTTCAGACATCACCCCTCGCGCCCTCGTCGTGATCAACCCGGGCAATCCGACCGGCGCGCTGCTCGACCAGAAGACGATGGACGAGCTCGTTCAGCTCTGCGAGGAGCACTCGCTCGTGCTGCTCGCAGACGAAGTCTACCAGGCGAACCTGCACCGGCCCGCAGAGCACCCATTCCACTCGTTCAAACAGACCGTGCGCCGACTCAACTCGCCCGTCCCGCTCATCTCCTTCCACTCCATCTCGAAGGGCGTCTTCGGTGAGTGCGGTCGGCGCGGTGGGTACTTCGAGTGCTGCAACATCCCCGCGGACGTGCGCGCGCTGCTCTACAAGATGGTCTCCGTCGGCCTGTGCCCGCCGCTCTCTGGCCAGGTCGGCGTCGACTGCCTGGTGCGGCCGCCGAAGGACGGCGAGCCGAGCCATGCGCTGTGGAAGCGCGAGACGGACAGCATTCACGCGGCACTCGCGCAGCGCACGCAGCTCATGGCTGCGCGGCTGAATGCGCTCCCCGGCGTGTCGTGCGTGAACTCACCCGGGGCGCTCTACCTCTACCCGAAGCTCGAGCTCCCACAGGGCGCGGTCGAGGCGGCGCGGAAGCTCGGGAAGGAGGCGGATACGCTGTACGCGCTCGAACTGCTGGAGGAGACGGGCATCTGCGTCGTGCCCGGCTCGGGCTTTGGCCAGAAGGAGGGCGAGCACCATTATCGGCTGACGTGCCTGTGTCCGGGCGTGGAGGAGTATGTGGGGATGTTGGAGAAGTTCCATCTGGGCTTCCTGAAGAGGTATGGGGACGCGTGAAGGTGCAGTTTGCACGTCTTGTCGGAGAGTGTTTGTGGACCAATTGTTAGAGCTCTGGGGACAGTCCTAGACGGTCGTTGCAGTGCGCTTCTTGTGTACGCGAACCTCCACTTCCCAGACGGCCGGTGGTGATGGCCAAATGGTAAAACAAGTACTCATGTTGAGCAAGGCAATGCGCGGTGTACTGAGCTATGTCAGTGGATGCGAGGCTACCGGCTATGCCTTATATGCTGTTGGATCGTCTGCCGTCCTTCGTTCGCGACTAGGCCTTCATTTGAGTGAAAAGCGCTGACACGTATGTAGAAAGTTTATAGCACAGGCAAAACCGGACTTTGGCCAGGTGAGCCCCTCACGAACCCGCCAGTGCTCTCGACTTCGCCGCTCACACCTCACACACATCAGCATTCATTACGGTCGATCCTTGCCCTCCGATGATGAATGCGGACTCGAGAGACTCTACACCCAATACCAAGGTTGCATCGCGCACCGCAGCATCGCCCTTCGATGATCCTGACGCCGATATCGTTATCCGCACTGATAAGTATCGGCGTCAGGATCATCGAAGGCCATCATGGGATTTGCATTTCTCGTCTTTCTCTACATATCGCCGATAAACGATGCTACCGTGGACGTCACAAAGAGCAGCAGGGTGTGAGATCACATGCTACTGATCGTATACCCATCGCTCTAACGAACCTGATGACTCCTGACGACTTCTAGCCCCTCCTGTAAGCTGCGAAGAAACACGAGGGCATCCGCGACGCTGTGGGACGCCCAGCGGTACTGGATACGAGGCATCGCGCGTCTACACTCTCGCATGTGGCTACGGCATGTCCGACGTTATCCCTCTCGCTGCGAAAGCAACCTTCCGAACATGGCCCATGGATCAGTTTTCACCTCCCTATTTCTCAGAGCTGCAATGTATGACGGACGCGGGACACCATAGGCTACTACGGTACCGGTGGCACTGCGTCGAAGTAGCCACATCTCTCGTTGCTGAAACTACTAAGAAGGTCGCCGTACTCTGGTCCGGGCTGTGGGAACACGTTCGAGGACATAGTCTAGCTTCTTGTGACGAATACGGCTTCTGGAACGCCTCAAAGTCACACACGTATTCTCTTCGAAGTGCGCTCCTACTTCGACGACTAATTCGCTCGCACGGCTCATGCGTTGCGTGTTGATTCGAGCGGCGCCGCGGTCACCACAGTGACTGTCCTGAGCCGAGCGCTGCAAGACGTATACATAAATGTTGCTGTGACGAAGGTAAGTGCCTACCCCACTCAGGCGTCATGACTCTTTGAGCGGAGTGAGGCTCATACAATCTATACCACAAGGTCCATCTTAAAGTTTGAAGTAAAGTTTGAAGTATGAGCGACGGTGTCAGTACAGTAGTGTCTTCGTGAATCTTCGAAGTTCCGTTCAAATGCTCCAGGCGCACGTTAAGGTACCGCTTCCTCTATCTGGCAGCTCGAACTCATGAGACAGGTAGTCATAAGATCCAGACGTGCCCATCGGGACACCTCAGCAGCAGAAGGCCACTGTTTTGCTGTATGTACTAGAGGCTTGAGATATATATATATGATTCATCAACTTCTCTCAGGTTTGACTATCCGACGTCCCTTATCCCGAGCGATTGCGACCAAATCCCTCCCCGCTCTCCCTTGTCGACGTCGCGAAATCTCTCCTGTTCCTTTACTATCGCCGTCATCGGTCGTCGGCTGTAACTTGTACGTGCTCCAAGCCTTTGCGTGTCCTTCTTTAAAACCCCACTTACTGTTACACCTAGTCTGTGCTTTTCCACGGACGTAGTGCGCCCTTGACCGCCCCCGTGCTCGCTCACATCGACGCGAGGACATGGCAGACTCTGACTCCGAATTCGCTTCGGTTGTCGACGAGAAAGTTGCGTCGCAACCCTTCGACGATCCGGACGCAGACCTGATCATCCGCACGTCGGACGAGGTTGACTTTCGCGTCTACAAGATCATCATGAAGCATGCCTCGCCTGTCTTCCGCGAGATGTTCACCCTCCCCGGAAATGACACAACTGCTTTGTCTGTTGTTGACGTCGCCGAGAACAGTCGGGTGTGGGACTTCATCCTGCGGATGTTGTATCCCGTCGTGCGCCCACTCTCCCTTCCCGCTCCCTCCGACTACCGGCCGCTCTTGGAAGCAGTGCGCAAGTATGACATGGCAGGCGTACGCGAAGCCGTCAAACTCGCCATGATCGATCCCGCGGTGCTGAAGACCCAGGCGCTTCGGGTCTATGCGCTCAGTTGTGCGTATGGTCTACCTGACGCAGCACGTATCGCTGCGAAGGCGACCTTCCAGCCGTGGCCGGGCGATCAGCGCCCGCCGCCCGCTTTCCCCGACATGGATTGTATGTCTGTCACGGCATACCATCGGCTATTGCAGTATCGCTGGGATTGTGTCAAAGCTGCGGTTGCTAGCCACCGGGGTCTCTTTGACCCATTGCCAACGCCTCCGAGTTGGGATCCCAAGTTGAAGAAGTACCTTCCGAGTTTACCTCAGTGGCCGTGGTTGACGGCAATAAAGCCAAACCATTATTCACATACCGATGGCTGCATGTGCAGCAAGATTCGGGAGGACAGTGGGATTCGGTCCTATGTCGATCGCTACATCGGCCGTTCATCAAAGGTGTTGCGCGCCGAACCAAGCGGTGCGCTCGTCACGACAACGCAGGCGATCGGACCGATGCTTAAAGCAGTAGCCGAGTGTTGGGGATGCAAGGAAATGGATTCTGATGGATTCGTCCGGTTTGCGGGTGTCTACGCACAGAACGTAGACGCTGCGGTAGCAAGGGTGCGTACAACAGAAGATGCCATCTGTCATCCATTAACAAAGGACTATAAGGTCGTACTTGAGGTTTGAAAATGCGATGCGAGTCAGACATCGGGTACGGAGACTAGTATAAAGGGCCTTTTACACTGTATAACTTGGTCGGCGCGGAGAAGGTTCAGGCGCAGAGATGGATGGGTGCTCAGGCTACTTAGGCGTGTCAAATACAAAGAATTGGTATGGTAACGGGAAATGCGTAACAGAGGGTCATAAAGCGTTTCATTTGGCAGCCTGTCAGTCAATGTCCAGAATCGGCGAGGTCTAGTAGTTCTACAAGCTCAACAACGCGGTATTTGATCGTCAAAATGCCACATGGCATGCCAAATTGTCTTCTTCATCTCTTCGTACACCTCCAGAGGTTGATCTCATGGAGGTTCGCGAAGTTGCATTTGGATGACTGTGGCATTGAACGCGGTCCAGTCCACGTCACGGTGCGGAACCACCACGCTGGGATCTGGTCATTGTCTAGCTCGAAGCCGGTGAAAAAGTCTGTCAAATTCACGGACATGTCAATGTCAAGCCTGCCGAGGCGTGGCGCCGCTTGCAGTGTGGAAAGAGTACGTACAGTACAACCCTTGAGACCATTGTGAGCCCGCATTGTCCTCACAGACACTTTCATTCAGCGGCTTGAACAGCACGATGACCCTCCGCTCCCCGATGTGCTCGAATCACTCGGCATCACGAGCGCAGAACCAAGCGAAGACGACGCCGAGGAGTGCGACTGGCCGGCGGACGACTGCGACGTATGCGAGGACGCGCGACTGAGGGTCACCCGGGGTACACCGAACATTTGCGTCTGCGCCTGGCCGAGCTCGTCCGCGTCCCACTCGCCTTGGGCGGGCCGCGAGTGCGAGCGCGCGTCGCGGAGGTCATTCCAGAGGGCGTAGGTTTGCAGGAGTGTAGGATCGTACTGCATGTCGGCTGTAGGCGAGCCTGGACTGTGACTCGGGGCGGTGATGCCGGAACCAGAGAATGGCAGCGAGCTAGGTGAGCTGTGGGTTTGTCTCTGGAGACTCGGTCCGGGCGACGGCGCGAACTGTGACAAAGGCTGCGTCGACAGCGTCGTCTGGGACTGCGCTTGCGCGGCGGCCATCTCCCGCAGCCACTCGTCCACGTTCTGCGTCTGAGGGTCTTCGTATAGCATACCCGGAGCATCGGGCGCGAGCGAGATGGGGACCGCCAACATCGCGCACTCAAGGCAGGCAATACATGTGTTGGGGTCGGCGCACGACTCGCCGAGGAGCGCGTCCCGCCCGCGGTGCTCGAGGCAGCCGGGACATGCACAGGCGTGCCCGCAGCCACAGAGGGATATATTTGCGAGGAGAGAGGCGCTTGAGGACGCTGGGTTGAACGCCGCCCATGACTGGAGTTCCGAAAGGGCCGGAGCGGAATCGGAAGGATCGGCGGCCTTCGCAACGATGTTCTGGTAAGTTACGGTTGGATCATCGAGTCCATCACCCGGGTGCGTCTGCTCGTAAGCCCTGCCGTAGGGGCTGTAAAGCTGGCTATGAGAGTGCTGACGTGAGCCGGGGACATGGGAAGGAGAAGGCGCGGAGGGGTCATGCGGCGGCCGGAACGAACTCTGATGCTCAGGCGGGGGAGGTCGAGGCAGGACTGGCCGGTGTCCGACCGCATGCGCGGACGCGACAAGCCCAGCGGGACCCGCTACCGGCGGCTCCCCGATGTTCTGCAGCGGCGGGGCCTTCTCCGCACTCCCGTTGCGCGGACGCGCCTTAACTTTAGCCTTGTTCCGCGGCACGCGAGGAGTGGCGCAATCACATGGCCCGCTGTGGTTGCATCTGCAGGGAGCAGGGGACGCGTTGCCTACAAAGAATATGAGAAGTGCTACACAGGGGCCTGCACAACCACATACTGTACTCTGATTCTGAACCGTCCGACAATGCGACCGACGCTCCCATCACTCCAGGGGGGAGCCCGCTAGGGAACGCGGCGCTCGCCGGGAGCTTGCAGCCACCTAACCCGTACAAAAGACAATTGACCTTGAAGGTCAGTCTCGCGTCAAGGCGCCAGTTATGTTACGGCAAGTCACCTCTTGTCTGCGCCGAGGGGCCCGCGACATCGAAGTCACTGTAACTAGAGGCACACATACACTTGACGTGAACTTGTTTGATCTTGCGGAGCTCCCTGCAGTGCTCGCATTGCGTTACCGGGCGGCCCTTTTTTTTGACCTCGTACAGCGGGCGATCGGTGTGTTTGCATGTAGACGAGCGGTGGCCTTTGATGCACGTCTCACTGTGATACAGCGGTGGTTAGACGTGCCAGCGCGAGCAATGTGTAGCGAGCGCACCACGCGTATTTCTGGTCACCGACGAAGACCTGTCAATCAAATGAGGTGCGCCTGATCCCGTATGTATCGGAAAATCCTACATACCATGACTTGCGGTTCCAGAGAGAGGGAATGACGAAGACGGTTGCGAAGTGAGGAGAGTCAATGAGCGGGTGCAGGGTTTTGAGTGGCAGCGAGTCGCCCCAGACGGAGAGTGCGGACACTCTCGTGCGCCCGAGACGCTCAAGCGTGTGTTATTGGGACACGGAGACGGCCACTGATGTTGCTGAGTGTGCGTAGCATACCATGAGCAACAATGGGTGAGGGGAGGAATGAAACTATGTCTCCGTCTGTTCCTCATATACTACGCAGTGCCACCGCCACCCCGACACAACATATGCATACAGGAGCTCCGGACCGTTACGCATGGGCGTCACGCCCAGTCACGCTCCGCGCAGCCGCTCGAGTAGCGAATATAACGCGTCCAGCAACTAGGCGCACTTCCCCGATCGTACCGAATGCCTGATACACATCGCACGGACCATCGCGAGAACAGCCCCGATAGTGCTAGTAGAGCCGCTTCTGCAGAGGGAGAGGGACTGCCTCCAGAGGCGAATGCGCGGTTGGTAGCCACCTCCACGCAGCCTCGTGCTCCAGGAGCACGGATGTCTGTAACCTAGTGCGAGAAGAAGAAGTGGAGAATATCGACGAGCAGCCCAGTTTGGTAGCAAACGTGGTTCTCTAGTCTCAGAACTCTGCGGATCGGAGCAATTGTGTAACTTACCCGCCAATGACACGACCACGTGACTGTGCAGTGGATCGTTTAGTGGAACCTTGCAGATGTTCGATTTGGTGAAGAACGAGAAGACCTTCACCCCTCTCGCAATTCCCACAATACTGGGTGGCTTGAAGGAAGCAACGGACCCAGTACCGCTATCGTCGTGGCCACAATTCCGCGCGACTCTGCGCGCGGCGCCTCGACCGAACGGTTCATATAGTCATTGAACTCGCTCCCGGGGTACGACTGGCTTTGGGGGCAAATTTTCCAAGGTCTTCTCACTGTATCAGCAGACTTTCCTATTTACAGACCTTATGAAATGAATGGCTTCGTAAAGACAACACTCACCACGCGGCGACTGCAGCCGTAATCTACGGCTATCGTGCACTCGTAGCCCAACGAACGCGATCGTCCCGCGAGACGCTCGCATGCGTGTCAAAAATGTAGCTCTGCTCGATAGAGGTGGCACACTGATATCCAGACTCCATACAGGGGCGAACGAATTGCCTCGTAGGAAATCTTGTGCAGCTCGATTGGCATCTGTCGGTTCGCAGCCGTGTACAGATATATATTTCTGATGTGGCAGCGGCGGTGATGGGACTCACTGAAGTCAAGAGCGTTGATTCGCCCACATTTTCCACAGTGAGGCATAAGGCGAAGACCGGGGAAGGCAGAATGATCCGCGAAGTAACAGGCTCCTCTTCAAGGCGCAGGATATACGTTGGACGATGGATCAGATGTTTGAAGTTGGACACTGGTGAGCTCAACAGACAATTGTTGATCTCGAGTCCAACGCAGTGAGATCGACTCGTCCTCTTGTTGAGTCCGAACATAGACAAGATGGTATATATGGCGTAACTCACCTCCAATAAACACGCGCCGTTTCGATGGACCGCTACGCAAACAGCAGTGTTATTTTGACGCGAGCGAGAGAACAGACCCGCGAGCCAGCAACTGAATGTATGCGCAGGGGATGATGCTCCTCGAGTGATCAATCAATGAGCCTGCGTTCGACATCAGTATCGACGCACCATGTAACGGGCTAGTAGGCGGTGAGCGGGATTGAGGCAACCGTGGTCGCAAAAAACAACAGTGAGTGGGTAGGAGGAAACATGGGCCAGTTGGGAAGCAGCGTTGAGGAACCAGCGTTCAAATCGAAGCTGCACTTGCAGCACGCCGCCGGTGTTCAACATTTGATGACTAAGCACATTGCCGCCACCCACCGCCGGCGGCCCATACGCGTTTGTTGACTGGTTCTCTCTAGACATCTGTGTGTACCGGAAGTCATAGAAGCTGTACAGATATACCAGCAGTTTGAAGGTTTGGCGGAACGTCTGTCAATGCCCGTTCGAAGGGGATAGACGCGTGTCTTGCCGCATTTAGCAATATGCTTGCCTTTCCTGTCTCACATTTGTCCCTCGCTCGGGCCTCCATCACTTCCTAGACTATGCTCAAGCTGACGATACCAATCAACCTTTGACTGTACCTAGATCTGTGGATATCTCATGCACCCCCCCGTCGCCCGACTCATCTACCTTCACTCGAATTATTCCCTTCCAGTGCAGCTCGTCGTGCAATGAATCGCAAATCAGATCTATATCTTGCTCAGAAACGGTTTATATTAGTAGTGTGTTATAGTCAGTAACGCTATCGAGCTGCCTCAATAATTCGGAACTTCATCGCACGAAGTCAACTTGGACTTGAAGCGGAGGGTGGTAAGGCGCCTAGCCCACGTGGTCCGATCATGGGCGCTTGAGCGAAAAAGTTGCAGAGGCTCAGCCACCAGCGCGGCTTCCCGCTTTACGCTCATCCGTCCTTCGTCTTCTGCACTGTCGCACTCACTCTACCTGCAGCAACCTCAAGCTTGAACATGCCGGACTCCTTCTTCGCCCCTTCCAAAACCCGCAAGCGCAAGCGTTCCCAGGAAGCGCCATCTTCCTCTCGGAAACCCGGTCGAAGCGCACCCAGCAAGAGGGGCAAACAAAAGGCCAGTGCGGCCCCGACGCCAAAGAAACGGAGAGATGAGGATCTCTCAGACGAGACACACGACTCGGACGGTGCAGGCGGGATTGACGAGATGGACCTGCGCGCGCCGGACGTCGACCCGGACGCGTACGAGAGCGGCGAAGAGGACGAGGACGAAACACCCGCGGAGAAGCGGCTGCGGCTCGCGAAGATGTACTTGGACGGCGTGAAGCAGGGATTGGGCTTAGGTACGTGTGCGACATGCACTGTCTAGGTCCTGCATCTCACTCGGGGGCGGCAGCGGACGGGGAGGTCGACGCAGCGGAGATTGACCGCGAGCTCATCTCGGCGCGGCTCAAGCAAGACGTACTCGAGCATTCAGGGAAAGTCCACTTGTTCGTGGCAGATAACGTACGTGTCACCCCGCTGCTTATACTGCACATGGGTCTGACCGCCTCACAGTACCAGATCGAGGATGCGCCCTCAATACGAACGCGCGGTCACCGCTTCTCCGTCACAGGCGCTGTCGCCTCCCCTTCAGCGCGCTGGCTGTTCACGTCCGGGAAGGAGGGCGTCATCATCAAGTGGGATCTGCACACCGGCCGCAAAGTGCACACCTTCCACAAGTGTAGGCCCGACAAGGGCAAGGGCAAAGGCAAGGATGTATCCGGGCACACAGACGAAGTATGGGCACTCGCAGTCAGCCCGGACGGGAAGTACCTTGCGAGCGGGGGAAAGGACCGGCGAGTCGGTGTGTGGGACGTTGAGAAGAACGAGTGGGTGAAGGGGTTCTCTGGGCATCGGGACCACATCTCCGTACGTCCCCCTTATCTTATTACCGGCCTCTCCTGACATTTCGCACAGGCCCTTGCGTTCCGTAAAGCCCCACCGACAGCGACGACCTCCACGCAGTTGTATTCCGGCTCGTTCGACCGCACGCTCAAGCTGTTCGACCTCACCTCAATGGGCTACGTCGAGACACTCTTTGGGCATCAGGCGCCCGTGCTCGCGCTCGACGCACTCCGAGCCGAGATCGCTGTGAGCGCAGGCGGGCGGGACAAGACGGTGCGCTTCTGGAAAATCCCCGAGGAGACGCAGCTGGTGTTCCGCGGCGGGGGTGGGAGCAAGTGGATGGACGACCTGGATGGGATGGATATTGATGGCGAGGACGACGAAGCAGAGGGAGCGCGGAGAAAGAAGAGGGCCGAGGAGAAGGCGAAGGAGACGAGGTTCGTCGAGGGGAGCATCGAGTGTGTCGCCATGATCGACGATCAGACCTTCGTGAGCGGCGGTGACAGCGGGTGAGTATCCGCGCCTCTGTTCTCCGTCTTATCTGCGCGTGCTAACGTCGCTTCCTCATGGTAGGTCAATATGTTTATGGACGACGCAAAAGAAGAAGCCCGTCTTCACACAGGCGCTCGCGCACGGACTGGACGAGGCACACGTTGAGACAGAGGATATGCCCATTGTCCGCAAGCCGCGCTGGGTAACCGCCATCGGCGCCCTGCGGTACTCAGATCTCTTCGCTTCAGGTGCGTTGGGCGTCGTCATTGTGCTGGGTCCTGATGCTTATGAGGGACCATCTCACAGGCTCATGGGACGGTTCGATCCGAGTCTGGAAACTCGACGCGAAGCTCAAGTCGTTCGCGCTCCTCGGCACGATCTCCGCTGCCGGTGTTGTCAACTCCATCCACTTCTGCACGCCCCCGCCAGAGTTCGTCTCCAGTGCTGCATGGGCGAGCTCGCCAGAAACACAAGAGGAAGCATCGAGCAAGGTTCGTGGCCAGGCGCAGGCAAAGACAGTCTTGCTCGTCGCGGGCGTGGGGCATGAAGTGCGCTTCGGGAGGTGGGTGCAGAGGAAGGGCGAGGGCGTCCTGAATGGTGCGCTTGTGGTGGCGTTGCACGCAAGGACTTGACCGACTCTCGTATGGAGTCCGTGTGATGTATTACTGACATGCATGCATAATACCGAGTCCGTCAGTACTGCTGTAGGGCACTGTGCGCTACCACTATGCTCGCATAGGATCAGAGCCCTACGGGACCGCTGGCTTTGGGTGTCTAATGGTGTCGGTGAGTCTCTGCATCAATGCCCGAGGGTGCGGTTGTGTTATTGACGACATTCAGAGCGCTCTTAGTCAGCGTGAGGCGCCTCTTACCAATTTGAGCTGACGAGAGAGCAAGTACGTGATCTGCAAGGATGACCGTGCATGTTTGAACCACGGTTGGCGTGCTCGGAGCCTTCTTCATCTGCCATCTGGGCATACTACTGGAGCTCACTTATCAGCAGCGTAATGTATTGCATATTGCGCTGCTCGATAGTGCATGCGAGTCTTAGGATCGCTCTGGCTCGACCATAGAGGTCCCTCGCACGCCATCCACCCAGGATCTGACGCGTAGCCGCTCTTGAGCTCGAGTTCCAGTACATATCAGCAAGCTTCCGCGACGATGCTACTGACCGCTCCACCAGCCTTCCCATCCTCCGGAGGCTCACTGAATCATGACCATAGAGACTTCGGCGAGGAGCCTGAGAGTCGCCGTCGTCGGCGGGGGTCCCGGCGGGCTCGCGACGGCGATCGCTCTGTCGAAGATCCCGAATGTGGAGGTGAAGATCTACGAGCAGGCGAGTCTGCTAAGGGAGGTAGGAGCTGGGATCAGTATCGGGCAGAACACCTGGAACGTCCTCGAGTTGCTCGGAGTGGCGGACACGCTCACGAGTGGCCATGTCATTGACGCTACACTGAATCTGTGAGTCGACGCTACTATCTCGGATGAATCAATGTTTGTTGAGGCGGATGCACACCATAGTAATGGCAAGACTGGAGAGGAGATACACCGGCAGGTGAAGACGGTATCGGTGAAGCGTCCGCAGATACGCGCCCAGCGGACGAAGCTGCAGTCTGCCCTCCTTGCGCACGTCCCGCCCAGGGTCATCGAGCTGTCGAAGAAGCTCACGCGCGTGGTCGATAAGGGAAAGGAGGGCATCGAGCTGCATTTCAAAGACGGTACGAGCGCGACAGCTGACCTTGTGGTTGGTGCGGACGGGATCCGCTCGGTGAGCTGAATGTGCCATGGTCCGACATCTTCATCTAACGTCTGGAGGGCGCAAGATGGTCCGGGACGCCGCATGGCCTGACTACGAGATCAAATACACCGGCACCACCATCTGGAGGGCACTCCTGCCCTGGGAGGACGTCGTGAAGCAAGACCCCCGCTTCGCCACTACCGCATGGTGGCACGGCCCGACCACGCACGTCTGGCTATCGCCTGTTGGCGAAGGCCTCGGTGAAATTGCCGCGAGGAGCTGGCAAGACCCTGCCGTGCATAGCGCGGACAAGGTCAGCTGGGGCGTCCCAGTCGGCAACGCGTACGTCCAGTCACATTTCGAGGTACGCTCCCTCTACAAACCACTGTGTGCGCGGCGCTGAAGCGTGCGTGCGCCAGGAATACCTTCCTGGGATCCGAGAGGTGATTAGCTGGGTGAAGGAGGGTGACTGGAGGGAGTTCGCGGCGTTCGCCGGACCCGAACTCTCGAAACTCACCGCATGGGACGACAAGGTCGTCCTCGTCGGCGACTCCTCACATGCTCTCTCCGGTGCGTTCGGGTCGGGCGCGGGCTTCGCCATGGAAGATGGCTGGGTCCTCGCGCAGGCGCTGCGATACTACCGCAACGACGTCCACCGCGCCCTCCCACTCTTCGACCGCATCCGGCTCCCGTACTACGCGCGCATGTATGCGCATCTGGGGGAACAGGCCGCCCAACGTGCTGCGAGACTTGAAAGACTTGGGGACTCGGCGTCGTATGATGACCGTGTGAGGGTGAAGATCATCACGGACGGTGGGAAGGATATGTCTTGGATATATGGAAACAATATCGGCAAGGTATGGGACGAGGCGATAGATGCACTTCAACTAGAATAGAGATGGTTGGCCGATTGGACGTGCACTCTCCTCGTCATATTGGACCACAGCGCGTGACGGTGAGCGGTTAGTACCAGACGCTTCTGCCCGCTGCCGATACCTGGCACTCTGCTGACTGTGGAGATGAGGTCAATCAGAGTGTGTAAGAGGACGAGACAAAAGTTCATTGCTCAGTTGCTCAAGAGGAATTGACGGGACAGGCCAAGGACAGCACAAGGTGCCAGTCGATCTTCGCGCGCGATGAATTCAAGTTCGTGTCCCGGTAGCGCCCATTGCCATCGTATGTAAGCGCCTAATGTCAACACTACTCAGCACCATCCATCAGCATACACGGCCGCGAAGTCGGCGATATGTCACACTCTAGTTACACTACTATGTAGGCGCAAGCCCTTCTGTATCGCGCCACAAGCCACGTACTCGACAACTTCGCGCGAAACCCTCTACATTCAGCACTCGCAACGTCACACGTGGTCGGATTCCCAAGCTTTGCCTGTCGTGTCGCAGATAAGCAGTCTAGAGCCTTGAGCTCACTACTCTCGTCGTAGGCATCAGCGGCGAGTATGCTACTATCTTACGCAATACCTCTATGCGCATATGCGTTTGTGCGAGAAACGCTGGATCCCGCTCGCGCAGACTTGACTAGACTCAAGGCTCTCCTTACGCCATTCCCCCGAGATCTGACGCGTACTACCGTTCTTGAACTTTAGGTACAGTGGCCGGGTAACAGTCCCCGAGACATCGCAACTAACCAGTCCACCGACTCCCCTAGCATTAGGAGATACATACCAGTCGTACTCCGGCATGACTATCGAGAGTTCGATCACGCCCCTTAGAGTCGCCATTGTCGGTGGAGGACCCGGTGGACTCGCGACAGCCATTGCATTGTCGAAGATTCCCAGTGTAGAGGTGAAGATCTACGAGCAAGCGACAGTCCTGCGCGAGATCGGCGGCGGAATCACTATCGGGCAGAACACCTGGAACGTCCTTGAGCTACTCGGAGTCGCGGACACGCTTACCAGCGGTCATGTCATTGATTCCCATCTGAACTTGTGAGTGGGTGCTACTATTGTATCTCGAGATAAGTGATTACTACTATGCCAGGTATACCACAGTAATGGAAAGACCGGGGAGCTATTACACCGGCACGTCAAAGAGGGAATTGTAGTGACACGTCCGCAGTTGCGGACCCAGAGGACGAAACTGCAGTCGGCCCTTCTTGCACACGTCCCCCGCGGAGTCATTGAGCTCTCGAAGAAGCTTGCAGGCATGGTTGACAAAGGCATAGGGGGCGTTGAACTGCTCTTCAGCGACGGCACGGTCGCCACAGCTGATTTAGTCGTTGGTGCGGATGGTATTCGCTCGGTACGCCGCCATTCTCGTGGCAACACATCGTCTGTATTGACGCGAGAAATATTGGAAGGTAGTCCGAGATACTGCTTGGCCCGACTATGAAATCAAATTCACAGGAACCACTTTCTGGAGGACGCTCTTACCGTGGGACGACGTTGTGAAACGAGATCCTCGCTTCGCACAAACCGGATGGTGGCACGGTCTGACCACTAACATCTGGCTATCGTCCGTCGGCGAAGGCCTCGGCGAGATCATCGCGGGCAATCGGCAAGACCCCGCTGTGCACAGCGCTGACAAGGTTAGCTGGGGAGTCCCAGTTGACAACGCATACGTCGAGTCTCACTTCGAGGTATGCTTCAAGGACGTGTTGAGATTCACCCTTCCCGGCGTCATGCTGATAAAGTGATAGGAGTTTCTGCCACAAATTCGAGGCGTACTCCATGGAGTAAAGGAAGGCGACTGGAGGGAATTCTCAGCCTTCGCCGGGCCCGAGCTCTCAAAGCTCACCGCCTGGGACGAGAAGGTCGTTCTCGTCGGCGACGCATCCCACGCGCTATCCGGTGCCTTTGGCGCGGGCGCGGGCTTCGCCATGGAGGACGGCTGGGTGCTCGCGCAGGCGCTTCAATACTACCGTAACGACGTCCACCGGGCGCTCCCGCTGCTCAATCGCATCCGCCTCCCGTACTACGCGCGCATGTACGCGCACCTGGAAAATGAAGCCGCGCAGCGCGCTGCCAGGTTGAAGGATCTCGGAGACTCGCCGTCCTACGACGATCGCGTCAGACTGAGAGTCATCAAGGCCGGTGGAAAAGACATGTCTTGGATATATGGTAATCACATTGGCAAAGTTTGGGAAGAAGCAATTAGCACCTTGGATGAACAGAATTCGACGGCAGACATTGCGAGCTCGTACAATACCAGGTGAGCTTGCACGAGCCAGTATCGTGGGGAGAACCTGCTAAGTACTTCGTACACTCAGCACGCCATGATTTGACACGCATGAGTGCAGATCATGGCAGAAATCGTGGATTTGTTATAGATTTCAAATGCTATGTGTTTGGTCAGCAATGGCGACGATGTCGCAGCAGAAGCGTTCACAGGTTGCGTACGGACTCCCTTGTGCATGCCGCTTTTCGCTTCTAGCCCAATATGACGGACGTCCGATTTGTTGTTTCCAGTCTAAGTATCCATCCAGTAGCGAGTTACATGGCGCTCATTCTATGCATCTCACCAGCGGTTTGCATCCCTCATCATGATCCAGGCTGTCGAGCTCCATAGCCATAGCCATCGCACATCGCCCAGCCCATCGCGAACTCCCTACAGTCCGCACGTAGAAGTAGATGGGGATCCTGCGCAAAGGACGTGCAGCGTCGATCGGCGCACTCGCGACGATACTGAAGCAGCCTGAAGTACGCAACCCCGGCATGAACATCGCAGGCTGATGAGCATCCGCTGGCTGGCGGAAATCACTAGTCTCTGCCACCGCGCTGGCAATGTCGCGGAAACTGTAGCAGCATTCCAGTACGTACTACATTTGTATGTTGTCCTGCTCTAGCATGCGGGGATGTAGCATCCTGTATCTGATCACCTCGCGGACAGCTTGCATGTCATATTTCCGGGCAGCTGAGTCAAGAAGCGGCCAGAATTAAACAGTGGGGACCGCGCGGCTTAATTGGGACAGCATGTATGAACGCGCGCAACACGAGTATAGATTCCATTCAGGTTATATGCGCACTACAGAATTGTTGCAGTACTTCACGATTAACTACCATTCTCTCCTCAGGCTCAGGACTCAACGACGAGCTGTACCTGCAGGAAGGCTTCACGTTAGTTATCAAGTAGTCCCAGCGCCTCGTCGGCTTACCTTCGCAATGGCCGCGTCGATCTCGGATGCATGGAACCGTATGAACTCGACAATATCAACCGGTTGTGTGCGGTTTCTGCAAGCGATACATTTTGAAGTGGAATGCACCGTCGCTGCGAGAAAGACGGGGTCGAGCAGTGCACCGCCGTGAGGGAATATCTTGATTATCTCCGTGGAACGAGCCATGTAGTCACCGAGTACATCTCGGAATGACCGATTGCTCCAAGTCCAAGTGTCCAACATGAACCTTGTTCCGCTGACACATCCTATATAATGCTCCTCATCGACATATTCATGTCGTAGCAGCCAGTCCTTGATTTGGTCTTTCCACCCGTCACGGAAGAACAGCCTTGGGTCCTCCGCAAAGGACATGGCTGCTCTTACGCAGTCTCGCCGGTAGTGGATCAGTCTATGATATGCAGCGGACGTTGTGCAGCGCAGCTCCGGGACGTACGGAATCTCCTCGTACTTCTGGCGGAGACTGGCTCTCGCCGCAGCGATGGCGACGTGTTCGATGCCGTAACCACAGGCAAGTGCATACACTCGCAGGGGCTCCTGGTCCAGCATGCGATTCGTCAACATCTCCGTTGCCACAGTCTCCCGCACGGCCGTCATTTCGTACTTCTTGGCCGCCTCGAGCAGCGGCCAGAGGTGATCGGGGGCGATCATAGCTGGTGATGCAGTACCTGGGTGGCATATACGCAGGATGTGGTCCCACACGACGCTGCTCTCGGTGACATCGACTGTACCGGGAGCGACGTCAGATCCCTCCGGAAGTGACAAGATGTCGGAGAGAACTGGGGAGGCCTCTCTGAGAATGAGCTTGAAGACGTGGAAGTCGACGCGATCAGACGTCCGAATGATCAAGTCTGCGTCGCGGTTGTCGAACGGCGGCGCGGCGGACAGGGTAGTTGTGGTGTCATTGTCGGGATCGGGATCATCGGCCATAGTCCTAAGTTGTAGAGGTGAACTAGAGCTAGGTGCGTGCTTGTTCTGTGAGCAGGCGTTGAGATATGTGACAGTACCGTGTCGGTGAATGCGGACGACTGGAGCGATTGAATACAGCAACGGTCACCGCGGGCAAACCAGGTTTTGCGGACTCCGAAGATTGCTATTAACATCGGTCCCCCATGGGAACCTATTCGGACTCCGAATGTTGTCAGAACATGCTCCGAACATGATGCGTTTCAGCATGTTCGGAGGCCGAAAACGCGTGTTTTCGGCGAACATGCTACGAACATGAATAATGTGGGGGCATTTTCGGAGTCAGTCAAACTCTCCGAATAGGTTCCCATAAGGGACCGATGTTAGAGCAATCTTCGGAGGCCGAAAAACCTGGTTTGCCCGCGGTGGGTAGTACTACTTCGCGACACATGGTGATTACATAACCCAAGCAGCCATACTCTCTCCTGCATCTCAGCTGGGCACTCATCTGTAAACTACAGGCTGCCGTGCGTCAAACGGCCACGTCTCTGCACCACTGCTTCACAGGGTTATCTACTTCTAGTATCGTAGGTGTCCTAGTAAAATTACATCGGAAAACATTCATATGATCATGATCAGCCTGATCCACTGGCAGTGGCCCATCCTTTTAGTTGACCACCGAGCCACGGCGAGTCAATCTTGTGGCAACCCCTAAGTGATATCTCACTGGCCAGCTAGGACTCTACCTTGAGGACCACCTGAAACATAAGCACCGTTTGTCAATGTCCCAGAGATCGAGACCATGCTCACTCACTCTTTCAATCGCCGCATTCACTTCGGCTGCATGGAACTTGATGAAACGGACAATGTCACTTGGATGACTGTCCTTCCTACAAGCGTTGCACAGTGAAGCAGCTTGCACGGTTGCGGCGATGAAGACTGGGTCGAGCAAAGCGTCGCCGTGAGGGTGAGATTTGAGTTTCTCGGTAGACCGCGCCATGTAGTCGTCGAGTACGCGGCGGAACGGTATGTGTTCCCTCGGAATGGAATTATATGTGGTTCCAACGACCATGCAAGTTGGATGATGTTCCTTTGTCCCCGTAGAGCGTAAAGTCCAACCTCGTATCTCCTCAGCTCTCCAGCCATTGCGGTGGAAGAGATTCCGGTCCTCGGCGAGGGACACGGCTACGCTAATGCACCTCTCGCGGTATTGGAGTAGGTTGAAGTAAGCGGCAGATGTCACACAGCGCAGCTCGGGCACATAGTTCCCCGGGCCGTGCAGCATGGTCTGGGAAAGACTAGCTTTGGCAGCTACACGAGCGACGTCCTCATATCCATAGCTGCATGCGAGCATGTATACGCGCAGCGTCTCTTGAGCTAGTACGCGAGGTGTGGTCATCTCCCTTACCACAGCCTCGCGCACGCACGCCATGTCATACTTCTTCGCTGCCTCGAGCAACGGCCAGTACTGATCGGGGACAATCGGGTTTGTCGATGGCATAGGATAGCATATGCGAAGAATAATATCCCACCCAACGCTGCTCTCCGTGACCTGGACTACGTGTGAGTCGGTGTCGGGAGTCGTTGGCAAGGAGGTCATATCGGCGAAGACTGAAGACGCCTCCTTCAGAATGGCTTTGTGGACGTGGAATTCGACGTGATCGGATGATCGGATGACCAGATCCGCGTCAGGATTGTCGAACGGCGATGAAGCGACGAGGACCGTGCATTTGGTGGAGGCAGAGTCCGTCATGTCCTTCCCCTATTCGGGATGTACGTGCGGAGAGGATGAGACGCGTATCAGAGCTTGTGAGCGTAAAGGCGTAACAGGCAGATACAACGCCGCCGGGCTGGCTGTGTGGCTGACCAAGCGTCTACGCCACATCGCCTCGCGTACCTTCTGCTTTCTCCCTCACTGTCAGGGGATATGTAGGCATCGTGCCTATCCCCACTCCCTGTACTGGCTGACTCGTGTGAATATCGGTCTATGGGCTCTGTGACTCCGAATAGTATGTAACGAAGTGGTCAGCAAGGCTACATTGGTGTCCCGGACTTGGACGAGAGGGCGAGGAGGACGGTTGTAATGATCAAGCATTCGATGCGGAACAAGACACTTCATCACTACGCAGGTATCACCTCTCAAATCTTCGCAGTGTAGTTAAGTCGGCGCGCAGCGTTTTGTACCGAGGGCTCGGCTCACTCACTGAGGTGAGCGGCTGAGCCCACGGCCCACCCAACGCAGAGGAACCTGTCCCACGTCGGAGTCAGCATTTCCTCGATCCCAGGCATCAATTGGGCGACTACGGACCAAGATTGAGAAGACGTCACGTTTCGACGTGGAGTTGGACCTTGGAATCAAGCGAAGATCAGTACAGCAGTCAATAGCCCACATGTTATTGCGGGAACACTGGGCCTGCGTACCTTCGCAATAGCTGCATCTATCTCAGATGCGTAGAATTCCATGAACCGAACGATATTGTCCGGCTGATCCTCCTTCCTGCATGCGCCACAAACCGAGGCCTCCTGCACAGTCGCAGCGAGGTTCTTCCAGTTAAGAACAACGCCTCCGTGGGGAGAAGACTTCAGCGCCTCTTCGGAGCGCTTCATGAGGTTCTCGAGTACACGGCGACAACGTGTTCGGACAGGTTTGTCCTTCCCATCTTGTTCTACCTTATACATCGCTGGGCGGCTCGCGCAATCCCCGTGGTGCACAGGTTCGGGATGATTGCGAGAGGTAGATGACGAGTCGACCCTACCCCAACCTCCTACAAATTCTCTCCACCTGGGCCGCAGGAATATATGAGGATCATGAGCAAAACACGTGGCTGCATCGACGCAGTCACTGCGATACTGGAGGAGCCTCAGGTAGGCAGCTGCCGTCGCGCAGCGCAGCTCCGGTATGAACTTCCGTTCGTCGGCTGGGCGGCGCAAGCTCGCTCTGGCCGCTGCGACGGCGACGTCCTGGAACCCGTAGCCACATGCGAGCATGTATATCCGCAGGGAATCGCGCTCTAGCATGTGAGCTGTCAACATGAGCTGGCCGACGGCGTCGCGAACGCCTTTCATGTTGTACTTCGTAGCCGCTTCGAGCAGCGGCCAGAGCTGATCGGGGGCGATCACGGTGGACGACGGGACGGGCCCCGGATAGCAGACGTGGAGGATGTAGTCCCAGATGGTGCTCTTCTCGACGACATCGACAACTCCGGCGCTATCGGCATCGGATGTCGGAGTCGCTGGCAATGTGAACATGTCTGCGAAGACCGGCGAGGCCTCCCTGAGGATCAGCTTGAAGACATGAAACTCGATATGGTCGGACGTCCGGATGACGAGATCCGCGCTTGGGTTGTCGAACGGAGACGAAGCGGATCGGTACACAGGAGGGGCAGAATCCATGTCTGAGCGAATGCGCGAGTCCAGCAGGACAGTCGCTGCAGTAGTAGGCTTTAAGGACGAGGGGTTGGATACGATGAGTGGCACAAAGGACGCGGCGATACGATGGCCCATGACCGCACATCGACGTCTAATCCTGTCAATGCACGATGCACCATCGATGAGCGGTTATGTTCCGAACAACAGATAGACGTACGGATATTCAGTATGTACCTATCATTGCCCGTTTGCAGACGACACCTCCGGTGAGATCAGCATGTCAAACCCTATAGCACGCACCAACACGCCATGCTGCGATCGAGGCCTGGTGTGATCACCTCTGCACCTGCAGCCCGCGACTAGAAGATCCATGAGCAAGTAACTTGTGTTCTGCTTCGCTAGATCTCATGCACACGTATTCAACATGGCGCCAGTGGACAAGCAGAGTCCCAACGAGTACATTCGGGGCATCGCACTATCGGACGGACACACCGCGCACTAGACTGCCCTTTCATACCTGTCTCCGTGACACTACGCAGCAGCTAATCGCCTGATAACTTACTTCCGAGAGTCAAGAGTCAATGATGAGTTGTACCTGCGGGAACGACATCAATGAGGGCGACCAGCGTTGGACTCGTATATCATCTAGACATGCCTTCGCAACGGCGTCATCTACACTGCCTGCATAAACGTCGACAAGTGAAGCGATGTCGTTGCGCTTCATGTTTCTACATTCGCATCTTGCGGCATCTTGTGCGAGAATCGAAACTAGGATTGGGCTGCGTACTGAGTTTCCCATAGGTACCTCCACGAGTGCTGCGGCAGATAGTCATCAAAGACTCGTCGAAAATAGATTTTCTCGTCATAATGACTATAGACTTGCGAGGGAAGGCATGACGGATCGGAATGCCCTCTTTCTTCTCCCTTCTTGAGACCCGCCCAACCGAGGCGTCGAGCTCCATTGTAAATCAACGCGTATGAATCCCTCGCTATTGACGTAGCAGCCTCCACGCATGCATGACGATATTGGGACAATCTGAAGTGGGCGGCGGATGTTGTACACTGCAGCTCCGGAACGTACACTTGGTTAGGTGGCCGGGAGATGTACGCTTTGGCCGCAGCGACCGCGACATCAGCGAGCCCATAACTGCACGCGAGCAAGTAGACTCGCAAGGCCTCCTTGCCAAGCATGCTGGGGGTCGTCATCTCCCGTCTCACCGCCTCCCGAACTCCAACCAGGTCGTACTTCTTCGCAGCCTCGAGCAGAGGCCAGAGCTGTTCAGGGGCGATCGAGGAAGGGCATGCCACAGGGTAGCAGACACGCAAGATGAAATCCCACACGACGCTGTCTTCTGCGACCTCGACTGTGTTCGAGTCCGTCCCGCAGGTATCCACAGGCAAGGTCACCATATCGGCGAAGAATGGCGAGGCGAGCCCAAGGATGGCTTTCAAGACATAGAACTGGGCGTTGTCGGATGTCCGGATAATCAGGTCTGTATCAGGGTTGTCGAACGGCGTTGAGGCAGTCGAGAGAGAGGATGCCTCGGCGTCCATGTTTGCGTCCGTCATCACATGTAACAATGAGTGCTCAGGGATAGTAAAGCTGAGCTCATGAGATGTTGACATACCGATGGGTTTGCACGTGAATATAGAGAAACACGACTACTGATAGAGCCCCACTGCGTCCTTGGGTTCCGCGAAGGATGGGCTCGTGCGATGCACGACTAAGGAGGAGGAGGAGAAGGAAGAGGACTCAGGAGGAGCTTGGTGAAGTTGGTCGCCGTGTGAAAGACGAGCGCCCCTCTGCACGTGATCGCGTATGCGGGGCGAGGCTGAGCGCGCGAGTGCTGCCTCTTGCCCCGAGGCCATCTCCCGCTCTCTCCTCCTCTTCTTTCAATATCACGCTATGCTCGAGATATGCACCCCAGTATGTCTTCTTTCCATTTAATTCTCTCGTCTAACAACTCCCGAAGCATCATGACTACGTCGCCAATGTGCTCACCGCGCTGCTCTGCGTCGGGCTCGCCATCTCCTATCTGCCTCAGGTTTGCAGCCCACTCTTGTAATCGAAACGCGTCTTGATGTTAACACGTACCACTAGCACCTGCGAATCATCCGGGCAGGCTCTTCAGAAGGCTTCAGCCCATGGTTCCTCTTGCTTGGGAGCACATCGTCTGCGTCGGGAATGCTGAACATGTGCGTCTCAGACCGTCTACTGCGTCGCCGAAACTCATCCTACGATGGCTCGACGCAGAATTGTGATGCAGTGGGGCATTGTTAGGTGCTGCAGAGTAGTCGTAAGTCCTCCCCTTTTCACCCGCACCTCGAACATCGAGCTCAGAGCCCACCAGACATTCGGGAGTTGCATCGAATCAATAGCTGGGGTTATCCAGCTCATGCTGCAATGGTTCTTCTTCACCGTCATGTAAGTTCTTTTCTCATTTCAATCTTCCAATGCCAACGACGCCACGGCAGTCTTGTGCTGTACATGATCTACTATCCGCCGCACCTGAAGTACTCCGAGGTTGACGTCGACCTGCACGACAACCGGCCGCCACAGCACGTCAAGACCTCCGTCAAGACCGACGCATGGCGGCTCTCCATCACGCTCTCCTGGGTCGTCTTCCTCCACATGTATGTCGCGCCATCCACACGTGCCCCACACGCTCACGTCCTTCCGCGCCCAGCGCCTTCATCACCTTCGTGACGTTCCTCCTCCTCTCTGCAGAGACGCCTGACCTTCCGAGCCGCTCGCCGCAGGTTTCTCTGTGGGCGACGTTCCTCGGTGTCGCCTCTGCGCTGCTCGCCGCCCTCCAGTATGCTCCGCAGCTCATCCACACCTACCGCCTCAAGTTGGTTGGCGCGCTGAGCATACCCATGATGCTCATCCAGAGCCCAGGCGCCATCTTCATGGTACTCAGCATCGCCCTTCGGTGTGTCTTCAGCGCCACGCACATCCTCACTTGTCACTGATGCTTTCGTCAGCCCCGGTACAAACTGGACAAGTTCGTGAAGCTCATGATTCTCTTGCGCGAATTGAAACCGACTGACATGCGACACCCAGCATGGCTCCCCTACGCCGTCGCGGGCGCGATGCAGGGCTCCCTCCTCGTCATGTGCATCATCTGGCGCGCCCGACAGCACCGCCTGCACATCGACGACTTCGGCCACCCTCTAGACATACCCGCCTCGTCCGACAGTCATACCGACGTCTCACGTGGGCCTGAGGAAGGTGTCTCCGTGCAGATAGCGGTGGAGGACGCCGTCGAGAGCGACGTCAGGGCCGACGCTGACGAGCACCATGAGGGTGCGAGCGAGGAAACGCCGCTCCTGAAAGGCAAGGAGGCGAGGGGCGTGGTGCGGAGGTGGTTTGGGTGGTGATGAGCCGTGCGCTTGTCCTCGTACGTCCTGGTTTGCAGTTCGGAACTCCCGGGGTTTCTATGATTTCGCTAATACACTGCGCTACGGTTTCCGGTCTCGACTGCATGTTAGTGTCAACTGCATGTTCATGCGTTTTTCACCATCCATTTGTGTCACTCATCAATTCTAAGCAAATTAAGCAGAATCTACTGTATTGGCCCAATGGTCTAGAGGTAAGATACTTGCTTTGGGGTCAGTTGTTCTCGGGATTCGAACCCGGTAAAGATCACGTGACTGACTGCAAGGGATCCCGGGTTCGAATCCCGGTTGGGCCCGGTTTTTGCCGGGTCGCACCACTGGCATCCAAATGTCTCCTCAATCTTCTAAGACCTTTGGGTTCAACGTTCAGCGCTCAGCTTTGAATTACAGTGGTGAGGCTGGCGACGTACTATTGACATACGGCATATTGACCATGCACCGTCGCGGCAATTGATCGCCGGGAGGATAGCCCGCCATGTTCACAGTTCAACAGCGAGCGATAGGCATGCTCCCGATACACCAGTGTCACTCACCATGTCCGCAGACATGCTTCAAGCCAGCAAAGCATTGTGTTCACACCACTAGAGTGCCTGCCAGCGGGTCCAGCGAGATGGATTCCAGAGATACACACACTATACAGCAAATCCAACGACGGCAACAACAACACCAACGACAACATTCTCACATCGGCACGATGGGCGCGCTTCCCTTCTCCAGCGCCGTCCGCAAACTGCCACGCAACGACCATCAGAGACCCACACACGCTAGCACGGGAAAGACGCACCTGTAGTCGTCTCCATTTTGGGTGATGTACCGGACCCACGGGAGGGCCTGGTACCCGCTCTTCTCGACGATCTTGAGGTAGCGCACCTGGATGCCGGACACGGTGAAGTACGGGATCTCGAACTTGACCGTGATCGGCGCGCGCTTGTCCATCGAGTCGTGCTCTGCGCGGTGGGTGAGCGGGAGTGAGGGGAGAAGAGGCGGCGGTGGACGCACCTCCGCGCACGCTGGGCAGCCCGAAGTGCGCCCGCATGAGGAACTCGCGCCCGCCGCCGAGCTGCTTGATCTTCCAGACGAACGCGCTCTTATCTGGGGCGTATTGAACGGTGCCCGTGCTTGCCTGGGATCACACATCAGTACCCAACGTTCCGTGCGAGCATGGGGAGAGAAAAGGGTGGAGACGACGGAGACCGCGGCAGCATCCATGCGCTCCTCGACGCCCGCCACCCTCCTGCCCGCAGATCTGCACTTACCCGGAACTTCGGCGTATCCGCATCGTCCGGCACGGGTACGTAAATCTCGACGTTGTTCGCCGTACTCCGGCGCTTGAACTGCGCCTTCACCTTCACCATATACTCCACCCGGGACCCCTTATGGTGCTCGACCTACACCTCCTATGTCAGCGAAACACCCCACAAGGCACGCGAGATGGGCGCACGGCGGCCTCGACCCAGACGAGCGGCTTGACGGGCGTGCTCAGCCGGTAGCTCATCAGCTCGAACTCGCCGTCAGGTGGGATGAAGGATATCTGCGGTGGGTCAGTGTGTATTTTGTGGTGAGCGACGCGGAGAGCACGTACTGTCCGGTCGTTCTCGAATCGTGATAACCGCACGCATTGATGGAATTTGACGTCCTCCATCTCGATGGCCTTCCCCCGCGCGGCTGAAGGAAGTAGTATCAGGGATGACACTTTGAAGGTCAGAACGGAGGGACTCACTTCGACCCGTTGTCTCGAACATGACCTTGTCGTTCAGACCCAGCCTGAGCTCGGGCATACCAGACAGATAGCACTTCATCTTGACCGCGCCCAGGATCTCCGAGCGGACAACGTTTCCTGTCGCATTGACCTGCATCCAAGCGTACGTCAAAGGCAGAGCAGAGAGAACGCAGCTGAAGGGGACGCACAAGGAGGTTGACGCTCTCGATAACGTCCAAAAAGACCTCGTTCTTCCGGTACCGGATGCCCTCCGACCGCCAGGAGACGGCATTCGTGACCGCGATCGGCGGGCGGACCTGGGCTTCGAGTTTGTACGATTCTTGTGTGATGTATCTAGCACGGCGCGTGAGTCGCAGCACGCCGAGGGCGCCCGGACAGGAGGCATGAACTGAGAACGTACTCTTGCAAGATTTTGCTCTCCGTCGTCTGGGGGTATCCAAAGTCCATCATCTCGTCGAGGAGCTCGTATATGATGACGAAGTTGTCGCGGATGCTCTCCTCCTCGAGCTCCTTGAAGTATTCGACGAGCACCGACACGAGCCGGTGGAGGAAGAGGATGATCTCCGCGGCGTTGCTGTTCCGCTTGCTGAGCGCGAGCACTGGCCAGCACTGAGCGTCCGCCGCCTACACGGAGAAACGAAGATGAACGCGTCGGACGTACGGTAGAGGTTGCTATGTCTGATGTGCAGGTAGTTCACGCCCTCCCTCGTGAAACACGGCGTGACCTGGGCGCCCTCCTCCTCCAGGTCGAGTATGATAGGCAGGAAACGTTCGATATATGCAGCTGGCACGTCGTCCCTGTATGATCGCTGGATGAGAGGCTTGCCCTTGAGGTCGAGGATTGCAATTAGGGAGGCCATGACGTGAGCTACGAGCAGTCAGATGGCCTAGGGGCAGGTCGTCCTACGCGCGCGACACGTAGAAAGTCTGCGAGACGCTGCGAGACGGCGGGGCGAGTGTGGACTGTCCAGCGAGCGCGAGAGGGTGAGCGGTGTTAGCAGGAGTAACTGAGGGTTAGATGCTGTGCACTATTCAATTCGGCTAGGTCTTGATATGGCGATAAGAAGAGGTAAGTGACGCTCTGATCGACATCATTAGCAGACATACAACGCGTCAATGATACCCACTACAAAGGAATAAGTGCATACAGTGGCCGTATCATAACCCCTCACTTATCACAGTCACCGTACACAGTGCGCCACTGACGTTGTCTCCTCTCGACTCCTGATCTCCGCCTATTGGCCTCTCCACTCCACATGTATATAAGCCAGCTCGCGTCCTGATGTCCCTCTCACCTAACTTGCACTTGTATCCTTCAGTCTTCAGGCTTGCCTCGTAGCCCACCCGCAATTCCGCAATCATGTCTACACCCGGAGACTCCGTAACCTATCCTCCTACCGCACACACGCCCCTGGCACACGCCGCGCGCACCTCTCATGAGGTCGTCAGTACCCAGCCCGCACCGGCAGCCACCATGAGCCCTTCCGCGTCTGCGAAAGGCGGGGAGAAGCCGGAGAGACTACGAGGTGGTTGCATACCTCTTCCGGTACGTCGCCTATCCGCACCCTCGCTGTCTCCGTGAATTTGACATGTCTTTCAGGGTGGAGGGACGTGTTTTATCATTCCTTGCTGCTGCTGAGTGCTCCTGAAGAACACTACGAACGGTAAGTTTTACTCGTCCGTAGTGTCATCCTACCAGTGTCGCTGACTTCGTCGCTCCTCTTGAACGCGCAGCCATAACACTGGATTCACACACGGACTGTTTCATAGCTGCGGACTTTTGTATCCATACTTTCGACGTCACTCCATGCTGTACCGCGTTCGTAGCTGGTGCGTCTTTTTACAGAGTGACCAAACTCAAAGAACCCGCCTCTCAATATGAAGAAAATGTTCGCATTAGCAAGCTGCGACTATGTCAGCTGCGCGGACTTCTCCTGAGCAAGTCATCCGGGTGGACGAGGCACGGAAAGATGAACAACCCAACATTGTGCTCGAGGAGGCGGATGACGGAGGTCGCGCGTTTCCACCGCGTCGTTCCGTGACAATAAGCAGTAAGTACAAGAGACTACTTCCTTCGCTCCGCATGGTCGGTAGGGTTCGCTTGAAGTTTGCTCAGAGGTTGGTTGTACGAGACGAGTGAGAATAACAGGCAGTGTTTGCGACAAACAGCTGCCCGGCGCCCCTAATGCGGAGAGGAGGAGTAGGCTGACCATCATGAGCCTATCCTTGAGAGAGAAGGTCGGGCCCAGATGAGTCAAATGTCGAACATAAAGGGAAGGGCGATGGCGGTGGATGTACATGTGGGAGATGCCAAACAGACGTCAACTAATTCACTGGATATGCATATAAGTACTATACGTGAGTCTGTCTCCTTGAATCTCATGAACATGCGTCGCTTATACAATTTTATATGTGTGCGTGTAGTGCTTGCGCGAGCGCAAGCTTACATGCACACAGCTGTTATTCAGTAGCCTAACGCGAGGTGATGAACTAATACCGCATTGGCGTCTTGTAGCCATGTGTCGACACAGCATGGACATGCCTCGCGTTTTGAAGGGTGCTGTCCTTTCGATAAGCTTGCTAATCTGACCCGTTGCATCTTTCAGTCGCTACCGTCACTATAGAGGAGCGACTACCCACGTCTCGCATTCATCCACGTCTCGCGTCCATCTACATAACCCACCGATCGTCGCTTTCGGCATTGCAGCCACACTTGGGTTGTCCATCAGTTCAGTCCTGCTACCTGCGCGACCGGGAACTGCGGGCTGGCTAGGTAAGCTATGTGTGACACGATGCGGGTGTGATCAAGTCTAACGTAGGCATACTTGGGATAGGGACCGACGCGCAGGCGGTTCGCTTTCAACTTCGCCACAAGCAGTACTCTCAAGCAACGGACTTTGATTGACCAATAGTCGGAGTCCAACTTGCGCTGCGTTTGGTATGAACATCTTTCCAATGTGGTGTAACCGTATTGACGTCGATATATAGTTGCATCACAGCGGCTACGATGATCGACCAAATGAACAAGACCGAACACGTAGAGGATCAGATTCCTCTACGTCCGGACAGCATCCCTGACAAGCTGACAGTCGAGGAGCATGGGAAAGAGGAGACGGACTCAGGAGAAGAACTCAGGCAGCGTCAGGTTCTGATTCCTTTCAGGCAGCCCATATACTCAAGGTGCGTGACTCACGGCTCCAACTCCCGGAGGATTGCAGTGAATGCGTGATTGATGGCTTCGTGTTTCCTCAGCGATACGGGTCCGCAATTCCCGCAAGAGTTGATCGAGCGCATCTGCGAATTCCTTTGGGACGAACCGGTCCAGCTAGCAGTCAGGTGCACGCGCATTTGCCCTGCTTGGTATCATGCTGCACGGCGAGTTCTGTCAGGAGATATGATCACCTGTCGAACCCAAAAGGCCCTGCAAGACTATGCGCATACACTCACATCCCGTCGCAATGCGCCATATCGCAAACGCTTCGGAAAATTGTGTATCTACGACAATGCCCGCAAGCCGTTCGCGCACGTTTGGCCTATGTTCATCCCAGGATGGATATTACCGCAACTGAATTCCGTGACACTCGGTGACCTTGACTGGTCAACCAAGACACCACACGATGTCTTTTTTGCCTATATGTCCTCTTACACCAGTATCTCGCGACTTGATCTGCGGGACTGCAGGTTTCGCAGTCTGCCGGATCTTCGCAGGGTGATCAATGCCCTTCCCAACCTTACGTCGCTGCGCCTCCACAACGTAACACTACAGCACCCCCTCAGACCGGGATCGGTCCCCGACTACAGCGCTCTCCGAGCTCGTTCACACAAGCTCGAGTCTATTGAACTCTTCGGTTCCACACCAGGGCATCCTGACGTGTCCTCGGACTATCAAGGACCACTGGCCCTCGATTATCAAACTCTGCTGCATATGGTAGTCGCAAACTCATCCGCTGTTACCCACCTCGCCCTTGACCTACGATTCTTTGCTTCGCTCTCAGCTCTTCGGCAATTTCTAGCGCATTTTTGCTGCCTTACCTCATTCGCAGCATGGAACCACTTTGCCTCGAGTCCTATGATCACATTCGAGGAGACAATTCATGCGCGTACGGAGAACACATCTATACACTCATGGTCAAGCTTTGTCCTTAGGGGTGTTCCTGATCAATCCGCACTGCAGCTTCTGCAGCTGCTCATTACCCCTGAATCGTGCAGCAAACTGGAGAACTTTCGAATCTATATCATAGGCCGGCCATCTGCAGCACTTCTATCATGTACTAGCCATGTGGTCCATGCAGCTGGACATCGGCTCAACTGTTTCACATGGGATTGTACAGTGAACCCAGGTCAGCTTTCCGTGTGTAGTATGCACTATGCATGTCCAACTCTGACTTCCAACTGCTTACATTTGTAGATCTCAAGATCACTCCGTCACTCGCAGGGAATACGTCTCTGCAAACGTTAGAAGTATTCCTTCGAGACCTTGCCCCGTCGCCACAGAAGATACACAGCGCTCTCACCGCCATGCTATCAGACATCGTCAGCATGGACCTGCAGCACATGAGGGTTCATTTCGGTCTGGCTCACCTCGAGGTGCTTTCCCAGAATCATGAACGGACACCCGCAGTATTAGATCCTGCCTCGGAGTCCATCTCTGCCTTTCACACCATTCTCTCGCGCAAGACATTCGGTGGGCTTCCGCTGGACACTCGAGCGGCTAAATGGCCTTATCTCGTCCTCCTCCGCAGCAAGTGTGTAGAGTTTACTTTCGATGTCCGAAGGGTACAGGACAATCCCACCGCGGTAGCCACTATCAAAGCCTACATAATCACTCTCTTTACGCCGTGGTTGGATCGCGGAATAGTTGTGTTGGCGTTCGATTCAGCAAACGGTTATGAGTGTATTACCTGTGTTCCCGCGTCTATGCTCAGTGGTAAGTGGCCCAATGTCATACCTCGCAAAGGCACATTTACAACGCGGCCATTTGCATGTTCCCGTAGAGGACACATCGAGTGACTCCAAAGTCGAGGATGTTGAAGAAAACGAACCCGTAGGAACAGAACAGTAGAACGAATCTCACGAGGGAATGGGAGAGACGGACACTGGTGTCAACAAGCCGGGCAGACGCAGTTGGTCGCGCAGGACAGCCGCATGATGTTGTACGATGCACGGTCTGGTATTCATGGATGGACGTTATATTTAACATGGCAGGTATCACGACAACACTCTTGAAAGCACAGTTCGGGGGGAATCAGCTTATCTACGCGTCTCCTTCGCGCCGTTGCTTGCCCATTTACATTGCAGGGATACGACAGATGAAGGACCCGGTAAGCCCCTGAGTAACCGCCCCACTCGTCGGGCTCCCTGCACCGTGCCTTGACGAGTAGCAGATACCATCTACCACGCAAATGCTGGCTGAGTGGTAACGCAATGATAACTAAGTAGTAGTGCTCATGACTGCGTACGAGCACTCTTCAGTTGTGCGAGAAGCACTGCTGGCGTTGTAGACGACTGGACTAGAAGAGACGCACCGATCACGCCGATCGTGTCCATCAGCCTCTCAACCGAGCCATCGTCAAACTCCGGGGGACTGCAGGCGAACGACAGGTCGCGGGTCGACACCAGAGGGGCGACGGGGACTTGCAGCGGCGTGGTGACCTCAAGACGTACAACGACAGCTGCAGAGCTCACGGGCGGAAGTCGCGAGCCTGAGTGTGGCTCAAGACGGCGGCACCTCCGAGCGTAAAGCGAAGGTACATGTCCCCGAGGCAGTCGTCCGCGCATGTTCCGAATATACACTACAGCGGAGCATTTAAGCGCGTATATGCGTTGTCAGTGACGACGCGCACCTCTCGACGGGCCTCGGACCTTCCTTTGCGCCGTCTCACTAGGCGGGCGGAGTAGTTGGGGAATGGCTTATGCGTGGTATGATACGCAGGTAACCATCGTCTCGAAAACGACCTGGACAGGTCGGAAGACCTCAGCGCTCAGCACGGTGCCGGTGGGCGAAGGTATAAGCCTGTTTGAGGATGGCCGCACATGCTGGAACGGGTTCGAATGTTCTCTGAATAGGAGCTGCGCGTGACGGTGGTGTTACCTGCGCAGGCAATTGAGCGAGCTGAGACACGCGCGCAAGAATACGAGACTCACGGTCTACGTAGGCGGGATACGCAGTATGTGTACAAGGATCACGGTGTATGTTGCGAGTGAAGTCGTGGGGCGTTGGCGGGTGGACAGCAACACCGCGTGTACCTGCATATTCCGCATATATACGAGACGAGCATGAGGTTGAGCGAGAGCTCGCGGAGCACGGCGTAAGAGGCGGAGAGGGTGAGCCAAGACTAAGCGTAGAAGCCCACCTGGCGGGGCCAGGTCCTGGATATCCCAGGCAAGCGGTATTGTGAGCAGACGGACATGCAAGGTCGGTTCATCGCGCGTTGAGCTGTGCAATTGATGACCGCAGATAACCTCGCCTGGAAAGACAAACACGCACCTTGGGATATTGACTCCTGGCGCATACCGTTTGTAACCCCATACGGTGCCGTGGTAGTATCTAGTCTTCAGAGATGGGCGGTCCATCGCCCGGCCTCACGTTTCAAGCAGCGACTCTTGATACATGAGGAGTTCAAGGTATAAATTCACTTACATAACTGGTGCGACCATTCTGACGAAGCTGCGTTTGATTCTTCGGGATGTCGACCGCCTGGTGTACGTTTCGAGGCTGAAAGAAGGGAGTTTAACAGTGCGTCCATCTTCGGGAGGTTGAGAATGCCAGTTTCTGTTCTATGTGCGAGTGTTGTCTGTTCGAGTCTCGCCGGGAGTACGAGGAGGACAGGCAGTCGGACGGAGACCGTGACCAGGCCATCGGCGACCGAGAGGAGCGGAACTGAGAGGTTAAGGTTCCTGTACCAAGCAAGGCAGCCTAGGCCTTACGAGGCGTAGCAGCGACTGAGAGCCGATGCGGCGCTGAGGGGGACGACGACGAGGCAGGACGCCTAGCGAGGAGGAGGCGCATCCGATGTTCTCGGAACCATACCCAATCACGTGCGCACCGTGTCGCGCGTCGTCAGCGCGTCTGACTCAGTGACTGAGACTCGGACACCGCTCGTGTTGCCCATACTCATCGCTGTCTAGTCTGTCTTCCACTATATTCTGTCCTCGCTCCTACTCCTCATTCACATCTCCCAGAGCATTTGTTATACCAGAACACGTAGAGTACAGCGAAACGCACTGCTTTGCGCGGCCATCGAGCTCACGGCTGTCCGTGGTACATTGGTGCGTCTGTGCCGCTGTTTTGTGCTACCATTACTCACTCATGGGGTCATTGCTCTTCTCACAGCCAGCATCCGGGGACCGCGATTTGCTGGCGCTTTTGCAACATCATCACCTCCGGGCTGTCCTGTTTGTATCTCGGAAGGTATACAACAGTTCGGAACTCTACAGCGCCTTCCTCTCTGCGCGCACCTTTCCTCGTCCTCCAGGATACACTTACTAGCTGTCCATGTATCTCAAATCACATTAGGGGACTCGAATACATATCGCACGACACCGTTGGCTCAGCAGTCTTCTATGTGCGCGGTCTGATGAATCACTGCCTCATAACTGTAAGTGAGTTATGCGTTGTCGGGGCTCGAGACACGGTGCGGAACTACTGGCTTCTATCTCGAACTCAGTGCTCATACAACCTTCGACCACTTTGACAGGTCTTCTATTTGATAAAGGGAGCTCCCGTGCCGTCCGCCCCACTCTGTACTGTTTCTTATGCGTAGCAGCGTAGTGCGCGAATATGTCTCATGGATATGAGGTACGTAAACATCTTCATGCGTATAGAATGTACTCACAGTGTACCCTTGGGGAATAGCTCAAACAATATGCGCATCAATCCCGAGCGCAACGCATGGCATGGCGTATGGGTAATCGCGAACCTAAATGCACAGCTGCTTCTCAGCTGCCCTTGAACATGACGCGGTAATCTCCTAATACAATAGCGCCGTTTGGCACATGTCGACATAGCATGGACATGCCTCGCGGTTAAAACAGTGCCCTCTCCTCGACCAAGTCGACCTGGCCCGTCGCGTTCTCGAGTTGCTACCGTCGCCCTAAAGTACTACATCTATCCACGTCTCGCATCCGTCGCGGACAACTTGAACGCACCGATCGAAAATCTTGCCATTGTGGCCACGTCTTGGTCGTGTACAAGATCAGTCCTGCTACCTGTCCGAACGGAAACCGCAAGCTAGCTAGGTAGGCTGCGTGCGGCGTAACGAGTATTTGATCAAGTCTAACGTGGCCATACCCGGGATAGGGACTAACGCGCAAGTGGTTTGCTATTAATCTCACGACAAGCAACACTCTGACGCCACGGACGTCGATTCAACAATAGTCTAAGTGCTACGTTCGGTATACCAATTCTTCCAATGTGATTCAATTGTATTGACTGAGTCGCTACTCAGTTCGATCACGGCGGGTACGACGAACGATCCGGTGAACCACACCGAGGGCATCTCTGGCAACTTGACAGACGAGGAGCCTGGGAACGAGGAGAAGGACTCTGACTCAAAATCCGAGCGCGATGATTCCTTTCAGGCAACCCATATACTTAAGGTGCGTGACTCACGGCTCCTCCTCTCGGAGGATCGGGGTGAATACGTGATTCACGGCTTTGTGCTTCCTCAGCGATACGGGTCCGCGATTCCCGCAAGAGCTGATCGAGCGCATCTGCGAATTCCTCTGGGACGAACCGGTCCAGCTAGCGGTCAGCTGCACGCGCATTTGCCCCGCTTGGTATCATGCTGCACGGCGAGTTCTGCCAGAGCGGGGGATCACCTGTCGAACCCGAGAGGCCCTGCAAGACCATGCGCATACACTGATACCCCATCGGAATGCGCCATATCGCAAATATTTCGAGACATTGTCGATATACGACAATGACAGCAAGCCGTTCGCGCACGTTTGGCCTATGCTCATGCCTGGATCGATGCTACCGGGACTGCGCTGCGTAACTCTCGAGGGCCTTGACTGGTCAACCAAGCCACCACACGATAGCTTCTTCATCTACCTGTCTTCTTACACCAGTGTCTCGGGTCTAGAGATGTCCGACTGCAGGTTTCGCAGTCTGCCGGAGCTTCGCAGGGTGATCAATGCCCTTCCCAACCTTACGTCGCTGCATCTCAACAACGTAACACTGCATCACTTCCTCAGACCGGGATCGGTCGCCGACTACATCGCTCTCCGAGCCCGTTCACACGAGCTCGAGTCTATCAGTCTCCTGGGCGATTCCACACCAGAGCGTTCTGACGTGTCCTCGGACTACCAAGGAACAACGGCCCTCGGTTCTCAAGCTCTGCTGCATATGGTAGCAGCGAACTTCTCATCCACTGTCACCAGCCTTGTTCTTGACTTGCGAATCTGTACTTCGCTCTCAGCTCTTCGGCAATGCCTAGTGCACTTTTGTCGCCTGACCTCATTCCAAGCATTGTACCAATTTTCCTCGAGCCCTATGATCACACTCGAGGAGACGGTTCCGGCGCGTACGGAGACGTATATACACCCATGGTCAACGCTTACCCTTATGGCCGTCCCCGATCAATCCGCACTGCAGCTTCTGCAGCTGCTCATTACCCCTGAATCATGCAGCAAACTGGAGGGATTTGAAATGGGTTTTACAGGCCGGCCATCTGCCACACTTCTGTCACGTACTAGCCGTGTGCTCCATGCATCCGGACATCAGCTCAGAAATTTCTCATGGCGATGTTCAGTGGACCCAGGTCAGCTTTCCGTGTGTAGTACGCACATGTGTCTGACTGCCAACTGCTTACATTTGTAGATCTCGACGTCACTCCGTCACTCGCAGGGAATATGTCTCTGCAATACTTAACAATAGAACTTTTGGACATTGCCCCATCGCCACAGAAGATACACAGTGCTCTCATCGCCGTGCTATCAGACATCGTCAGCGTGGACCTGCAGCAAGTGTCGATTTGGTTCACTCTAGCTCACCTCGAGGTGCTTCCCCAGAATCATGGACGGACGCCCACAGTACTACATCCTGCCGAGTCCGTCTCTGCCTTCCACACTATTCTCTCATGCGTGACATTCCGAAATAGCACTCACAACAAATATGTACAGGTCGTATTTGACATCAGAAAATTGCAGGACAATCCCACCACGGTAGCCACTATCAAAGCTCACATGGTCACTCTGTTTACGCCGTGGTTGGATCGCGGAATAGTGGAGTTGAAGTTCTATTCGGGGCACAGTTTGGAGAGTATTCCGTGTGTTCCCACGTGTATGTGGCCCAATGTCGTACCTCGCAACGACGCACTTACAAACCGGCCATTTGCATATATCTCCCTAGAGGACACACCGAGTGACTCCAAAGTCAAGGATGTCGAAGAAAACAATCCCATAGGAACGAAGCAGTAGAACGAAGCTCAGGAGGGTGCGGAGGGAGACGCGGACGGACGTCGTTGATGATTGCGCAGGACAGCTGCACGATGTTGTACGATCCACGGTCAAATTCTCAACGACGGACATTGTATTTAAAATGACAGGTATCACGACGACATTCTTGATCAAAAGCATAGTCTTGAGGGCATTATCTTACCTACGCGTCTTCTTCCGTGTCCTTTGCGCCGTTGCATGTACAGATCAAAACATTGAATCGCAGGGATTCGACAGAGGAAGGACCCGGTAAGACGCTGAGTAGCCGTCGACTGGACTCGTCGGGCCCCCTGCACCATGCCTCGACGAGTAGCAGCTAAGTAGCAGATACCATATACTACGCAAATTCCGGCTGAGTGTTAACGCGACGATAACGAAGTACTAGTGCTTACGGATGCGTACGAGCACTCTTCCGTTGTGCGAGAAGCACTGCCGGCGTCGCAGACGACTGGACCAGAAGAGACGCACCGATCACGACGATCACGTCCATCAGCTTCTCGACCGAGCCATCGTCAAACTCCCGGGGGATCGAAAGCGAGTAGGTGCAAGAGGTCGTCGGTCAACGACAGATGACTGACGGGGTGTTGCAGCAGCGCGACAACCTCAGGACAATGGTTGCAGAGCTCACCTGCGGGAACGGGAGCCTGACCACTCAAAACGGAGGCACCTCCGAGCGTAAAGCGAAGGACAGTGCCGGTGCGAAGGTACGGCGTATCTCTGCAGCCGTCGCCCGCGCCTTTTCAGGATTTGCCCTATAGCGGAGCAGTTAAGCGCATATATGCACCTCTCGACGGGCCTCGGACCTTCCTTTGCGCCGTCTCACTGTGCTTGTGGAGTAGTTCGGGATCGGCTTCTGCGTGGCGTGAAACGCAGGTATTCATTATTGTAGAGACAATCTGGAAAGACCGAAAGACTTGAGCACGGTTCCCATGGGCAAAGGTAGGAGCCTAGTCGAGGATGGCGGCACATGCTGGGACGGGTCGGATGTTCCTCTGAATAGGACCTGCGCGTGACGGTGGTATTGCCTGCAAAATTAATTGAACGAGCTGAGACACGCGTGCAGCAATGCGGGACTCACGTTCGTAAGTGAGATGCGCGGTACGTATGTTGCGAGTGAAGTTATGTGGCGTTGGCGAGTGACAGAAATGTCGCGTGTATCTGCATATATACAAGACGAGCATGCATTTTGAGTGAGAAACAAACCACGGAGCACGGCGTAAGAGGCGGAGAGGGTCAGCCAAGCCTAAGCGTAGAAGCTCACCTGGCGGGGCCAGGTCCTGGATATCCCAGGTAAGCGGTATTGTGAGCGGGTGGATATGCAGGGTCGGTCTATCGTGCGGCGGACTATGCAAGCGATGAAGCGATGAACGAAGGTAATGTCGCCTGGCAAGACAAACACACACCTTGGGATGATGAATCGCTCTCCTGGCGCATACCGTTTGTGGCCCCATACGACGTCGTGGTAGTATCTCGTCTGCAGAGATGGGCAGTTCATCGCCCAACCTCAAGTACTCAGCAGCGACCCTTGAGAGCATGAAGAGTTCGACTCGGTATAACTTTACTTACATACTTGGTGCGACCACTCTGACGAAGCTGCGTTGACTCATCCCTCTGAATGTCGACCGCCTGGTGTACGATGCGAGGCTGAAACAAGGGTATGCAATAGTGCTTCTATTATTCGGGGAGGTCGAAGATGGCGGTTTCTGTCTACATGCGAGTGTTGTCTGTAGGTGTCTCGCCGGGAGTACGAGGCGATGAGGCGCGCAGGAGCAGGACAGTCGGACGACACTGGGTGTGGAGAGGGAACCCCGGCGGTGCGTCCATTGGGGGAGGTCAACACATGACAGAGCTCTTTATGCGTGTCCGGCGATCGGGAGGAGCGGGACGGAGAGGTTAGGGTTCCTGTACCGAACGAAGTCGCTCGAGCCTGACGAGGCATAGCAGTCAGCTTGAGCACCGATGGGAACGACGGGGGCGACCTCATCCGACTCGGTGATCGCGCCCATCACGTGCAGCAGAGCGCGCCGTCATCTTCTCCTCCTCCTCGCACTCGCATAGCCGTAAACGGGGCACACCATCCACTCGTTCCCTATGCCCCTCTGCGACGACACGCCAAGATCGCCTTCCTAGGCTCTGTTCTCCTCACCCTGCTCGTTCCACTTGCCTCTATGTGCCGAGTGTCCAGCCAAACATCCGTCCATGCATGGCATCCCGCTCCTGGTGGGATATCCTGAAGGCTGTACGACGCTCGCTGGACACTAGCATTTACGCGCACCGGATGCTGATCCCAGGGCCAGGCGCGCGATGTCATCACCTAAGGATTGACCGGTCTTCATAGATTGACGCGGTCGACGTGGTATTGAGTTCCACTAGCAGTCCCATCTGAGAAAGGTACGTCTTATCACCGGATATGTCTTCCTGATGCATAAACCCTTCTCTTAGGCTCAGAAAGGCGGCCAGAGCCCTTCAGGATGACGAAGGAAGGGATGGCTTCGAGTTGCACATTGGCCAGCGTTCTGTTCCAGGTGCGTGTACTCAAAGCTGTACCTCCTTCAAAGCACCAACACATCGATCGCTTTGATTATGCCTCGCCCACCCTGCTACAAGAGCACATCAAGCTCATTGCACGTCTGCCTCTGCGACGAGCCCGTGCTGCTCGCTCAGTCCTGCCTCGTATGCCGCCCGCCGCGATAGACCTCATGCGCCTGCTCATGCTCAAGCAGCGCGGGCGATCTTACAGTTCTGCGTTCGACGAACACGAGGACTCGAGCTACATCTCCGCCATGCATGTGCCCGGGTGCCGCATCCCTGAGCTGGACCACCTCAGCACCTCGCATTCGTGCTGCTGGATTGGGCGGCACCCCCGAGGGCGCCGCACTGCACGTTCATCAGCAACCTCACATACCTCGCGCCCGTCACCCGCCTGTTCCTCCATCAGGGCCACTTCCGTCATGCAGCCGTCCTCCGCCTCATCGCAGGCGTCCTCAGTCTCTAGACTCGAATGCTTGTGTCTGGATAAAATGGCGTCCCGGTTGACCCTGCGGGACACGGAAGGAGCCACGCTACTTCAAACAAGAATTCCTCTGAGTTATCGCTCATGGGCTCCGCCGGCCGCGACTATCACTCACCAGGTCGTCTATGTGCATCAGAGCCTCCTAGTCACCTTGGTCGCATACACTTTTACATGCGCGTCCCTTCCGGACACGACTCATTTCTTCTCGTTTGCGCATTATTGATCGTTCCTCCGCGTATACCACGGCCTCCTACACGGCCATCTTTGCGACGATCCCAACTGGGGTGCTACGCCCAGCAAAGCTCCGTCTCATCGTGCGGCGGACACCGTTCAGCCGTTGTGTGTGTATCACCGTCTGACGTATCCTCGGCATTCGGTCACGGAGTACTTCAAGCACCTTTCGCAAGAGTGTTGCGTCGTCGAGCTGCTCGACATCCGTCTGTCGAACTCGCCCTCCTCGGTACTACGTCACGCCTTCGTTGCAGAGCTGCGCAATCGGGACCGGCACTTCAGAGGCTATTGTATGGGAACATCGATGTGTGCTCGCGCTCCAGAAGTGAGCATCCGCTGCCCACACCGCTACCGCTACTTCGTCGCATACTAACATCTGATCGCTTCAGAAACCACAAAGCCTCCCTTACAAGGTGCAGGTGCTTCAGTTGGCGCATACTGTGTCCTCGCTGTTGAGCAGAACGTCGATCTACGACACTCATCATGTTATTGTCGTCGATCGATGGCACGCAAATGCAGCGGCGCGCGATGCGCATTGGATCCACGTCCTCAGCGTCGGTGCGTAGTAGGTGCGTAGTATTCAACATGCGCGCACACGCGAGCGGAACCGGGCACGGTCGCGGCCCTCCACGGAGCCACTCGCTGTGCTACTGGCGCGAGGCGCACAGCTCACATAGGCAGCTGGGATTCTGGCGGGATGCGGAACGCCCTGCGCGCACGCTTTCGGGCACCACATACCTGGACGTCTGACTGCCCAGCAAGCCAGCGTCACGCCAGGTACCGCCTTGAGCGGAGCAGCCAGTGGGAGCGATTGAATCCGCGCAAGTGTCGCGGCCATGCACCGGCGTATAGGCGTGTATATGCGGACCGAGGGGCGTACCGAAGTCCGAATGGGTGGAAAATGCGGAGACATCTTCGTCGTATGCTGAGGAGTCGCTCTAGATCTAGTGCTTGAGCTGCCTGGCGGTCGTGTTCGTGTATGGACTGGGTCACACGTTGTCAGCCCTCCGACGTCATCCAATATCCTTTCTTCGCATTCGAGCGTCGGCCCTCGCGCTCGTCCTGATTTCAAGCCGGGGACAAGAGGTCGTCACGCGACGCGATGTGGCAGAGGCGTGTGGCGCGAGGCGCGCCTCCTCGCACATACTCTCAGTACAACAGCAGGTCCTCCAAAGGCCTACATATGGTATGCAAAACTTGCTTCGACTCTCTCTGGGCCTCTGCCGAGACCGTCACGGATCTCGACCTCCCAGACCTTACCCGGGCCACCGGGCGACAGGCCTTGATCTGCCTCGTGGTGAGTACGTGCATTCTATCTGAACACGCTGCCTACATAGGATACACGAGTCCGCTGTCTCGCCTATTTCGAGGTCTCGCACAGGTTCATGAAGTCAGCACGGAATTCTGCCGGCCAGTGGTAGCCGCTCATTGTATCGGCCCTACTCACGGACTCAGTACTCAGAAGTGGACCCTTGACACGACCTAGGCGCCACACCCTCGAGGCTTTGGCCACCGAAGCTCTGTCACGAACCTTATTGTTTGTGGCTCTCTACACAGTGCCGAATTCCTGCTCACGTACGCGTTTCCTCAGCGAGCAACTGAGCAGCTGGATTTCGTATGGGGATACTTACGAGATTGGTGAAGGAGCTATCCAATTGCATTTAGTACTCATGTAGGCATATCCTACGCGTCAGGGCCCCGGTGGCGCGTACTACTCTCAGTGCTCGCTATTTGGCAATGAACGTCCAAGGCGAACGACACGCACCATACAGAAACCTCGTAACAAGGTTCGTGCCAGGGCCCGGGGTGCCAGCCACTGACCGAACACATTGAAGCGACACCAGCGGACGCTGCTTTGACCTCTTACAATTCGAACGCTGCTGACATTTGTGTCCAATCAGCCGCTGCGGCCTTCAAATCTGCGCCGCGTGCACGACTGTCGCTGTGAAGGAACTGTGACACAAGTACTTATCCCGACAGGCGCGCGGTTGTCTCAAGCTTCCTAGCCGACGGGCTAGTGATACACCGCCGCGCAAGCCTACTGCTGTTGGAGTGCCCGCCCAACAAATTGGCCGGGAACATGACTGGTGAGTTATACACGTTCAACTCTCCTGATTGGCTAGTCAACCCAGACTCAGTGCTGTCACGCTAGGCCACAATGCGGGTATTAACCATTAATGCACCTCCTTGTGGATACATGATGGCCCCAGCGCCTGCGGGCTCAACGTAGGTATGATACGCCTGGCAGCTTCTATATCCCTGTCTCGACGGGGACGTTTTACTGCCATTGAATTAGACGACTCCAGCGGGCTCTGGTCGATTGTGGTACGCATGGAGCCCCCTCAGTGATTGTTGCGCGTTGACAAAGTGACCACGCATAGGCTTCCGTACGCCTTGGTCCAATTCAGGTTTTTCTGTAGGTACAACGGTGCTGCCGGAACCAGATCATACGTACCGGCGTCACGATGTTATCTCGCAATCAATGGTATATACCTTCCCTCCCATGTCAATCTGCAAGCTTCGGGACCTTGCCGACTTGACTCATTCGGCGCTGTTTTTGTCCGTTGAACACCACTGACCCGGACTCAGTGGCATACATCCTCGCGTTGTCAACGTGCATCCACATTCTCGTTGTGCTTCTGTGGATATATCTCCACCCCCCTGAGCTACGTGCGGTTGTGCGTCCGGGTCCGCTGTCTCTCAGCCTGCCTCATCCTCCCGTGCTCTCAGCCTGCCTCGTCCTCTCGTGCTCTCAGCCTGCCTCGTCCTCTCGATCTCTCGCCTATTTCCCTCTCCCTACACGAGACTGATCACGATCTGACGCCGTCATGGTTCCACCTGAGGTGCGCGCCATCGTTCTTGACTTTGCTGGTACAGCAGGAAGGTTGATTGTATGCGCGGTCTGAATAGGAACCATCGGAGCCATTGTCTATCCCATCGGGCCAAGGTATCAGAAAGAACAATCCGACACCCGTCCCCGATGATCATGCGCCGTCGTCGCCAAACATCGCCGTCGGTGCAGCGAGCTCTAGCGAAGGCGATGGCGTCGTACCATCAGTGAGTAGGTGCGATATTAAAGGGCGTATAGGGTCATTTACCTGTATATGCAGGTATCCAACCCGGTCGACGCGGGAACTACGGGAGCCTCGTCGCCTCATGTCGCCACGTCGGCAGCCCCATATGAGGTGAGCATGAGCAGTGATTATAAAACTGCATGTCAGGGTCTGACATGCATCGCAAGGGTTCGAATGAGCGGCCGGATGCCGGTGGAACGAAGTATTTGTCTGAGTCGGCGGACCACTCGATAACGATGTCGGAAATGGAGACTGTATTCGAGAAGTACATGAAACCGCGGGACCCGCAAAAGCAAGAAGACGCGTGGCCGGTGCTAGCAAAAGAGGTATGGACCTACGAGAAGGAGCGTATAGAACGATGGAGGAACGAAATCAGCACGCTTCTCGTCTTCGTAAGTTGTGATGCTTTCGTCAATGTGACGACTTGTGCTAATCCACTCCAATCATGTAGGCGGGTTTGTTCTCTGCCGTCCTCACTGCCTTCGTTGGCCTGTACTACGCCGTCCTGCTGCCACCGCCTGACTTCAACACTGTCATCCTCGAGCGCATATCTGCGCAGCTCGGTAACACGTCTAGCAACCCCGCCGTCGCACCGAGTAGCTCTTCTTCGCCCTTCCCCCCTGCACCCCCTGCACCCCGATGGATCGCTACCCTTTGGTTCGCTTCTCTGGTCTTCAGCCTCGGCGTGGCGTCAGTCGCTCTGGCTGTCAACCAATGGCTGAACTTTCACGCGGAGCAATCGGGACTACGAACCACACAGCAGAAGGTTAGGACCTGGCAACTCCGTCGCGATGCCCTCAACAACTGGGAGGTGGAGTTCATCGTCAGCCTCCTTCCCTGCATGTTGCAGGTTGCCCTTGTCTTATTCCTCATCGGACTTGTGGGCTACCTATGGGTGCTCGGGCCTGACATCGCCATCCTGAGCACAGTCCTCATCTGCACGCTGTTCCTCTTTCTCGTTGTTACCTCCTGTCTGCCAGCACTGGTCGAATACAGCCCCTACAAATCACCTCAAGCATGGTGGATGTGCGAGGCCTGCAGACGTGCGCGGTGGCTCGTTTGCCAGTTGCTCCGTCTTCTCCTATCGCCAGCTATTGGCGTCGAATGGTTCCGGCGATGGTGGCGCTCTCTCAGATCCAAACTCCAGTCTGTCATCAGCTGGTGCCAGCGAGATGTACAACGCCAAATTGACTGGTGGCGAGATGCTGTACAAGTGTATGATTGGGGAGTCGTCCTGAGATACATCTTCTGGGACCGCCCTTGGCATGGTCTCAGGCATCTTCATGGTGAGTTACACAAACAAGACCGAAATCGTGATAGTGATGGACTAATTATGTAACCAGAGGTGCTCTCGGAAGACCCCTCACACAATCTACAACAGCTCTTGAAGGCATCTGACTGGCTGGCGCACGAGCAGTTGTGCCTGGGGCGCAGGATTACACACAACGAAGAAACAGAAAAGTCCCTGTTTTCGGACATCTATACCATCGCACAGGACACAGACGTCCTTCGTGCAATGGCAACTTGCGTGCGAGCGATGCCTATCGCCCGAGCAATCAAGAATGTGACGGAAATAGGCCAAGCCGTGATCACCACTTTGTCAACTCGAAAGGATTCAGGTTCACGAAGGCCTAGTGAGTCATTTGCTACACCCTCTGGCGATCAGATGGTATACGAGGACTTGGACGGCACCGCTACCGCCTTGATACGTCGCATGGTGCTTGACACATTCATTCGAATGCACATAGAACTCGACGACGACACTCACGCTCTCGATTCGGACTACAGTCGCATGTTGGCCGGACTGATCCGCGCTATGCCTCTCGCCGATGGACACGAGGCCTGCATGTCTTTGTTTCAGCATTTACGTGATGGTCAACTGTCCACGAAACAACGACAAGCCACCTGGGAGGTTATACAGAATGTCTACATCACAATCGATTTCCTCGCAGAGGACGAACAGTACTGGCAACAAAAAGATATGCAGAAGATCAGAACATTTGATTGTGCTCCACATACCGAGCTGTATCGTCTGCGAGACGTTCAAGGTAAGTCGTCCGTCTACTTCGGTTACAACCGGTGTCAGCTCAAGTTTGGCATAGACTGGGAGTGCGTGCAGACTGCACTCACGACAGTATACGCACACCGTGACCCTGCATCCGCCATTCAAATCACAACCACCGCTCTGGCTATATGCATGTTGTCCATCAGTAACAACCACACATCGCCAGCCGAGCCGTCGAGGGGAGCTTACCTGGCTGACATAGCCCACCGATTCGACGAGCATCTGGCTACCCTCCGCCGCAAGGAGCTGAGAGACGTTATACATGACCTTCCTCCCGCGGCGACATACAGACTCGATTGGGTGTTGGCTCGCATGACCGACTGGGACATCAACGAAGCCTTGAGTACGACCGAGTTTCACCGGAACGCCATGATGTCCACAAATTGCATCGCGCGGCGACTCCAATGGCTGCTCGATTGCAGTGAATGGACGCCGCCAGGGACAGTCCCAGGGTTCGGTGTTTACTTGGATGACTACGCGCGTTGTGCACGACGGCGCCTAGAATGGGTCGGGATAGACGTGACAGGCTTGTCAGTCATCTTCGACGCTCAGAATGTCAGGATACACTGACACTTGCAACAGGGAAGGATGGCTCGAATGCGCTCCAGATGAGCCCCAGAGCGAAGGTGATCGAAGAGTCGACTCCCCGGAGGCGGCTGGCCCAGGGCCTACATCGGAAGCTGGCGACGAGCAGGCCCGGGACCCACCGGCGGAGCCGCGAACGGACAGTCCGAAGCGATCTGTTACCCAGTCCCTGTAAGCAGTGATTCTCGCACTGCACTCGATCGTCGCTGACGAGCTCGCTCTAGCATTGACACAGTGCATGCACTCGAGGGATCCACGGCGCAGGGGCCCGACATCGAAATGCAGGCCGTAGGAGCCGGCTCGACCGCGGCATCAGATGTGCCCTGTGCGACGGACACCGCACCGCCAGCCGTCAGTGGGGCCACGCCAGCGACCGTTACGACGCTTGATGAATCCGAGTCGCCGCAAGGGCCGGA